TTGAGCTTATCTATTTTAATGCTTTTTAATATAAAAAAGTCTTAACGCCATTACTGTTATTAAATCTTTGCTGATAGTGAATAAAATTTACCAGGTGCTCTGGTTGTCCTGAGAATTAATTATAAAGTGAAAATTAGCAAGATTCTGCCACATTATGATGATGATTTTCTTAAGAGGAAAATTCAACAGAGAATTGACTTCCAAGGCTTAATTGTCAGAAGCCTTCAAATACAAAGGCTCTGTCTGTATTTTTCTTTTTTATACTTTTAAGGTCAATAACAACAATAATAAATGGAAGGGTCAGATCACAAAAATACACCAAAAAAAACTTTACTAGCTATGACAAGTGAATTTAAACTTCCATTACAGGGCTGTCATGAAAACCTGTCAGGAAAAAAATTTTTAAATCCCTCAACTAAATGAAAGAGTGTCATTCAGTTAAATCTTCTACTCAAAGATGAATGTCATTGCTTCTTAAGAAATATCTAGATATTCAAAAGAAAAAAGATGTCAAAGATATTTTCAGATTAGTAAATGGTCACAGGCTAACCTAAAAGATAGAATTCTGCATGCCTCAGTAATGTCAAGGTCTTGAGTCTTTATGTTGAATCTAATTCCTGAGATTTCACAAGCTTTTTTTTGTCTACATGACTGCCTAATTTCAAGAATGTACAGAGGCTGTAATTTTAATCAAGTGGATCAAATATTACTATATTTAAGAAGAAAAATCATCTTTTACTGAGACTCCTCAGGATGCAATTGGAAAAAAAATTAGTTGTACTCAAAATTTGCTGCTGGGATCACAGTGGGAAGAGACAAATAAACAAATGCCAGTGAAATGCAACACAGAATTATTTCTAAAGTGCTATGGTAAGCATCACTGGTTGGTCAGATCAGGAGAAGCATTCTCAAGGAGACATCTAAGCTAAGTTGGGGTGATGAGGAAGATGTCAGGCACAGAAGGAAGGAAGAAAAGTCAAAGAAGAAGAGAGAACATCCACCAAGGCTGAAGGAAGGCTGGGAGAGCCATCAGATATCTAGGGAGCTGGTGCATGTTGGGGTGTTGTAGAAAATAAGCCTAAAGAAACAGGTTGAGACAAGATTTTCATTTGCAGACAAGGCTGACCTTTGTTCTTCGGCTGAGGAAGAGCCAGTAAAGATGTTAGAATAGGAAATAACATGATCAAATTTGAGAATTAAAAACTTACCTCTGGCAGCAGCAGCTTAAGGGCAAATTAGAAGCTAATTAGAAGATGCAATAATTGAGACAAAAGATAGAAGAGTCTGAACTAAGGCAGCAGCACTGGGTCTAGGAGCCAAGTATGAATTTGTGAGCTTTTGAAGCAGTAGCAGATCTCCCCTAAGGGCAATAATTGACATGCAAACTTGACATTTAAACTTGACTTTTGAAGGCATCTAGGACAGATTGTTATATTTCTTTTTATTCAATATGTGGAAATTTTATTAGTCTTATTTAGCATATATAATATTTATTCAGGTTAATTTATATATTTAGCATATATAATATTTATTCAGGTTACTTTCATGTGTTGAATAATTCTCACTTTAGTAAGTATATGTGTTATGGTACTCTAATTGGTATATTAAACATATTGCTCCAGACTGTACTTTGATATTTCTTAAAGAGCAGTAGAAGTACTCAAATGAACTTTCTTCTTTGTATGCTAAGAAAATGTTTCTTCTAAAAGCTAATAATCCAACTCTATAAAGATTTATGAAGATTTTTGTGAAAGATTTTATGTGATATCACTAAGTAATATATTACACTTGGTCCTGACTCAACAGACTGGTGACCAGAAAGATAAGATCATCACCAATGAGAAAATTTTAAGTGTAGCCAGTTATACTTAATTAATTAATTCACTGATTTATTGAGTAACTGGGCATTATGAATACAAAAATAGAGCAGCATATAAGTGCTATAATAGAGACTTAACTTATTAACTCAAATAGAAAATTCCATCCCTCAGAGAACTCAAGAAAGAATGACCAGAGCCTTGATGATTATGAGTGTATGAGTCAAACAAGAAAGGAAAATACATGCCATACATAGGAAACAACATGCATAAAAGCCCTCTGGTAAAAAGACTCTACCAATTTTTCAATTTGGGAAACTCTGAGAACTAGAAAGTACAGTAGTTGTGGTAGTAGCATGAGATAAAACACATTATGACACACTAAGAAGTTGTGACTTTATCCTATAAAAAATAATAAGACACTGAATAATTTTAAACAGAAGGCCAATATGGCAAGATTTGAATTTTATAAAAGATCATGCAGGCTATGGAGAAAACTAGAGGATAAAAAAAGGGAGCTAGCTCAGGGTGGGGGCAGCCATTTGAAGGCAATTAAAATAATCAGGGGAAGAAATAATACAGACCTGATACTGAAAACAGGTGGCGAGGGATAGAAAACATATGAGGTAAAATAGATGAGACTTAATCATGAAGGATGTGAGGAAAGGGGAAAAAGTCTAACATGATTTCATGTTTCTGAGTAGCCAGGGAAGTGATGTTGCCATAAACTGAGATGCAGTTTAGGCATTTGGGAACAGGAAAATTGGCAAAGGAAAACTATTTTTAATGTATATTTAAAAATAGGTGGCATGAATTGCCAGCCACAGAGGTATGCCATTCAGATTTTTAAAAACCTTGCCCTGGCTGGTGTAGCTCAGTGGATTGAGCAGGGGCCTGCGAACCAAAGGATAGCAGTTCAATTTCCAGTCAGGGCACATGCCTGGGTTGCAGGCCAGTCCCCAGCAGGGGATGCATGAGAGGCAACCATACACTGATATTTCTCTCCCTCTCTCCTTCCCTTCCCCTCTAAAGATAAATAAATAAAATCTTTAAAAAACCTGCTATGGGAACATAACCGCCCAATAATGCCCACTGCTATCCCTTTTGCTCCTCAGAGGCCATGCTTCCCCCTAGGGCTGCCTACTAAAGACAGCCCGTTTCCCCTTCCATAAAGGACACTCCCTGTATGGAAAGGGAGCACCTTTTGCTCAGGGACTCTCCATCAGCCTTCCAGAAACTTTCTCAGGACTGTGCTTCAGTCTGAGGTTCTTCCTACCCCACCTGTTCTTCTCTCTCTCCTCTTACAGGTATCAGACATGCATCATGGTCTAAAGGTTTCCCTGGTTACCTCTGTTCCTTCTTTATCCTCCATAAAGATTTCTCCCAATATGACTCTTGTATGTTTAATCACATTTTCACATCTCTTTTATTGAAGGAGCCGAACTGACAGTATGTAGGTGTCAAAGAAGCACTTGAAAGTTACAAATTTAAGAGTTATTGTCCACAGGAATCACTGAGCCTTGGGTTAGGATGAACCTGCTCCAAGGGTGCAGATCCTAAGAAGCACACCACTAGTTTATAACACATATTAGCTATCCATGCTAACAAATGGAAAAGTGGCTTTTGGTAAGAGATAGACATCATAAGATATCTGGAATAGCTAATGTGGATGAGGTTTTAAACAGTTTAATTTAGCATTAGAAACCATAGACAGGAATTTTTTACATCCACCAGAGTCCTAACTTTAATCTCTGCATTAATTAAGTGACATTTTGCAATTCAGGATCTCCAGGCCAGTATTGAAATAGAAGTGCTGGGCTATGGGTTGGCTTCATCTTATCCTAGCACATGATACTAAGTATAAAAGGGGACAGGACAAGTCAACACCCTTTAGTACTTAAGAACTGAGTGTTCCTCTGGTTAGTGAGTCTTTCCAACAAAATGCCATCTGACTCTACCCAATAACACACACTTAATCCCCTAAGCACTGTCCTGTGAACATGTTTTTAAAGCTTTAATTGGCCATATACATGATTATAGGATGTGATTATTCATGTCGTAAAATATTTTAATACTAGTTCTGTCTTAGCCTTACCCTGAAGTTCTTCTGTTTCCTTTGTAATTTGCCAAATTATCATACACACTGTTGATACCAAGCACTGTTGGTAATGATGTAATTGTATTCATAAACTACGCAGACATTGCTGCTTCATTCAAATCATCTAAAGAGCTAAATAGCTGGATTCTCTAAGTGACTACAACTTTAAATGTTTAGGTTTACAAAAATCACTACAGTAAAATCACTAGTGTTTAAGCCATGCAGATTGCCAACAACTGGGCAAACACCCAGCTCTCATGGCCTGCAGATAAGCTCACCTACGTAGAGGTCACCTGGTATGCCTAAAGAAAGGAAAAATAGGACTACACTTCTGAGTGAATACCCACAGCGTGTAGATACAGGAGAAAAAGAAGCCAAAATAATTAAATTTATACTATAAAAACATGGTAATAATCCTTTTAGTTCATGTCAAGAGTATATGTACCAAATATACCAAAATAATGGGGAGAGTTATATTACATAATCCAGACAAAGACACACTATTTAAGATGATGTAGAAATGGTGTGTCCATTTAAATAACTATGCTGGTAGTAGAATTTAAATTTAAATTCTCCTTTCACCAAGAGGTCAAATTAAATGATGTATTTGCTTCTAACTAATACATCAGAGGGACCATAAACAAAAGCTGGAAATGTATTTATAATCTAAAATCATCTTTCATCCAAGCATTAGTAAAAACCTGTAGTTTTACATAAGACTTCTTATCTCTCTTACAATCTTCTTATCTGAAATGAAATAACTCAAAGATCACAATTATGTGTATAGCACTTGGGAAAAATTATTCCACTTTTGCAGATTAAAAAGTAAATACTAAGCAAGTCTATGTATTTAGTTTATTTTCTTCAAAATTACCTCTAACATATCATCAGGTATAATAGTAAACACTAAATATTATTTGAGATATTTACGGGTTACAAACACAAGCCATGATATAATATGCAATTGATAAAAGTCCTAGCTCCATTTAAGACATTAGTAAACATTGAAAAGGCAAGTTTTTACATTCTGTTGTCTGTCATCTTCTAATTGGTCAAATTACATAAAGAAACATAAAATTATTTACCTTTTTGAGCTTCCAGATCCATTAAGTGATGAACTAATGTATGACTATATACTGATGTTTTCTTGATAATTTCTTGAAAACTAGGCAAATAATACATTAAAATATCAAATGGTAGCAATTAATTCAAAAATGTGTTGAATGCTTTTATATTTACATAAAAATTCTCAACTTAAAAACAGCATGGAAATTATATTAAAATCATATATTAATAAATCATACTTTAAGAAATACCATGAAGACACTAGTACAAATAAAAATTTGAACAAAGCCTTCAAAGTCACAAATTTTAGAAGCTACTAGAGAAGAAACACATTCTTCACCAGAGACTATCTCAGCTATCACAAAGAAAGACATCATCTTTACATTAACTAGTTATATAGCAATCCTAAAAGAGGATTTAAAATATTTTAATCTTGATTAAAACATTGGGAGAAAATGGGTTTCATTCAGTGTAGTAAAAAACATAGAATTAATTTAAAATAAAGCTTTCTACATAGCAATAAATTCAAACTTCACATTGTTCCCATCAATATGTCATTAGCACATACCCAATGTCACGTAGCCCAACTTCCAAATGGGCTTTTGAGTAGCTTCTACTTTAAAAAATCCATACCATCTCAGCACACATATTTAAAACTGAAGAAATAAAAGTATTTTATGCCTCTTAAGTAGAGCATATCATGTGCATAAACTTAAATGAGCTGTTATTACAATTTTGGAAGACAACAATTTGATGTCTTACATCTCAATTTGGAGTCATATAATAATCACTGTAGTACTATGGATTTATATAGCACTCCTTTTTTTCAAGGATCCCAAAACATTTTTCAGAGCTACCACATTTTTCTTTATAGTAAAGTAGAAGACAAATTACTTCCCCTCCAGTATACAAACAAGGAAAACCAAAGATTAAATTATACCTTTGAGGTCACATGACTAAACAATAGCAAAAGTGGTCACACCTTTTGTTCCCAATTCAGTTTCTCTTCTATTAAGGAGAGCAGTCTTTATTATAAATGTGAAAATTGTCAGTAATTTTCACATACTATATATGTGAAAATTGAAGGTGAAATTTATTAAATGTTAAATCTGGACATACCGAAACCAGTTAGCAGAATTTCAGGAAAAAGTATCATCCACAACTTTTGTGTTGCTGATGAGACCTCTGATGGTGCCTGAAAGGCCGGCACCATAGCACGCAGTTTGCTACTGTACACACTGGCAACGAGTCCTTGCAGAAGGGATTAGGATCGTGACAGCTGCAGCTCAGAGCCTCCAGTTATACAGCGATGAGATTAGAATGCCTGTGAACAAGGGATCTGAAGAACAGTGGAATATTCCATGTGTTTCATGAACACAGCTAGGGTTAATAGGTGAGTATAAACCACTTTTGCAAGAGACTGAAGATTTTTTGGGTGAAACGGTAAATTTTTATACCTTTAATGCCAAGAGTTATTTAAGACTCTTTAGTTATGACGTTCTGCAAGGCACAGGCTATGTAGTTTTCATGTCACCTTCCTAGGTGCAAGCATCATTTTTAGATTCAGACAACACCACCAGAATGTTTCTGAATGTGTGAAGTTGGGCTCTGGATACAGGAATCATATTACCAAGATTCCTTCCTATTCAGAATAGGAAGACTGAGGGTTCTGTCCACCTGTTCACCTGTACATGTGCATGCAAAGGAACATCTAAGGGCAGATATAAATATCCCTTTTCACTGCAAATGTTTTTTTCTTAACAGGTGACCATATTTTATTATTATTATTATTATTATATTTTATTGATTATGCTGTTACAATTGCCCCACTTTTTCCCCCTTTGTCCTTCCCACCCAGCAACCCCACACTCCCTTACACAAAAGGGAGTGTAAACATCCCTTTTCTCCACATCATTATTCATGTCTGTGGGTCACATGTATAAGTTTTTTGGCTAGTCCATTTCCTATAAAGTACTCCAATGTGCTTTACATCACCATGGCTATTTTGTGACTACCAATTTGTACTTCATCAATGCCCCCAAACACCCCTCCCATATGGCAACCATCAAAATGCTCTCTGTATCCATCATTCTGTCTCTGTTCTTTTTCTTTGCTTAGTTTGTTCTTTAGATTCAATTGTTGATAGATCTGTATTTGTTGCCATTTTATCATTCATAGTTTTCAGCATCTTCTTTTTGTTAAATAAGTACCTTTAATATTCCATATAATAATGGTTTGGTGATGATGAAGTCCTTTAGTTTTCTCTTGTCTGGAAAGCTCGTTATTGTCCTTCCATTCTAAATGATAGCTTTGCAGGGCAGAGCAATCTTTCCTGTAGGTCCCTGCTTCCCATGACTTTGAATATCTCTTACCAATCCCTTCTAACTTGCAAAGTTCTTCCAGCTGACAGTCTTGTGGGAACTCCCCTGTAAGTAACTAACTGCTTTTCTCTTGCTGCTTTTAAGATTCTTTCTTTATCTTGAACCTTAGGCATTTTAATTATGATGTGTCTTGATGTGGGCCTCTTTGGATCCATTTTGTTTGGGACTCTCTGCGCTTCCTGCGTTTACATATCTATTTCCTTAAGCAAATTAGGAAAGTTTTTCTTTCATAATCTCTTCCAATATATTTCCAATTTCTTGCTCTTTCTCTTCTCATTCTAGAACCCCTATGATGTGAATGTTGGTATACTTGAAGTTGTCCCAGAGGCTCCTTACACTATCCTCATTTTTTAATTTTTTTCCTTCCTGTTGTTCTGAATGGTTGTTTTCTTGTTGTTATTGTTGTTTTCCTTAAGTTCTGTATCATTGTATTGATTCTAAGCTTCATCCACTCTAACTGCTGATTTCCTGTAAATTGTCCTTTATTTCAGTTAGTGAATCCTTCATTTCTGACCAGATCTTTTTTCTGGTGTTGAGGTCCTCACTAAATTCCTTGAGCATCCTTATAACCAGTATTTTGAATTCTGCATGTGATACATTGCTTATCTCTACTTTGTTTAGTCCTTTTTCTGGAGTTTTGGTCTATTGTTTCATTTGGGCCACGTTTCTTTGTCTCCTCATTTTGGCAGCTTTCCTGCGTTTGTTTCTATGTATTAAGTAAAGCTGCTATGACTCCTTGTTTTGGTAGCATGGAGTAATGTAGTAGGGGTCCTGTAAAGTTGAGTAGCACAGTCTCTCCTGTCCTTCAAGCTGAGTACTCAATATGCACCCTTCATGTGGGCTGAGTACACCTTCCACTTGTAGTTGTTGGCAGGTCATTGGGATGGATTTACCCAGGCCGGTCAGCTACAAGGACTGGCTGTGACCACTGACCACTGACCACCACCCTCCACCCTCCACGGAGAATTAGCTGTGCAGTGGCAGAGAGGTGGTGCTCCAACACAGTCTATAGCTACCCACTGGATATGCAGGCTCTGGGCTTTCCCAGGTGCTGCAGGCCAGGATAAGCTACCACCTATGTTCTGCCTGGGGCCACCCAGCCTGTGCAACAAAGCAACCTGCAGATGTCTCCTACTTGTGCTGGGCTTGGAGGTTTCCAGGCAATCCAAACTATGATTCAAAGCTGGCTGCTGCTTGTTCCGGGCCTGGGGCTGCTTAGGGAGCTGGCTCTCACTGCACATGTTTTTAAAATTACATTTATTGGGGTTATATTGGTTAATAATATAATTTTCAGGAATACACTATAATTCAACATCTGTGCCCTCTATTGCATGCTTGCCTCCTGAAGTTGTTTCTTTTTGTTACCACATATTTGACCCCCTTTACCCACTTTGCCTTCCCCTTCCCCTCTTTCCTCTCTGTTAACCACCATCCTGTTGTCTCTGAGTTTTTATTGTTAACTCATTTGTTACTTTTTGTTTTTATATTCCACATGAGTGAAATCCTGTTTTTGTCCTTTTTCCATCTAATTTATTTCATCATACACTAGTTCTATTCTTAATAAAAAATATCCTTAATAGTACATAATTATAGGTAACAAAATCAAGCATTGTAAGGTTATTCACTTAGGATTATGACTACAGCAGCTACTATGGAATACTTCACATACCATAAAGTATACAAAGTTGAATTTATGTCTTGTTAACATATTGGATGGGACTAGTGGTCTGGGAGCCCAACTTTGGTTATCCCTGTCAATAATCAGCTTATTTTAGGCATTTATTTAGTGTGTTTCATGGCTTCCTCGTCCATAAAACAGGGTTATAAAAGGCATACAATATATATCTGTGGGAGGCATATGGTAGGTAAAAAGCAATCTGGAAACTGCAAAATCCTAAACAATGAAAACTTATTCCTAGACGGTTAATTCTGGGCCAAGGACACTCTTTTTGGTCCTTTTAAAAACAAGAATGAAGACTCATTTGGTGAATAAAAATCATCTGTCTTTCTCAAAGAAGTATTTAAAAAGGAATTTTTTAATTCACTGCTGGATTTCTTTCTTTTATAAAAAATTACACATAAGTTTAATATGTGATTTAAAAGATCATTAGTCAGAGCTAAAAATACAATAAATGATGCTATGATAAATTTATATCTATATCTCATAAATTTCAACTGGATAAGCTACATGCAAAAAATGAGTTTTACAATGCCTAGAGGAAAATATAAAGAAAACTGAAACTCAGAGACACAGATAACAGTGTATGATGGTTACCAGAAGAAAGGGGTGGAGGATTGGTGGTTAAGGAGAGTCAAATATTTGGTGATGGAAGATGACTTGTCTTTGGGTGATGGACACACAATACAACATATAGATTATGCATCATAGAAATGTACACTTATAACCTATATGACCCTATTAACCAACATCACCCCAATAAATTCAATTTAAAAAGAAAATGTATATAAAGAATTACATGTAAAAAGGTACATTGGGAAAAAGTCATGTACGTCATCTTCAAAGTCATGGCTTTTTACAGTAAACACTCAAAAACTTTTATTGTGGCAAAATATACGTAACTTAAAACTTCACAATATTAACCATTTTGTGGAGCTCAGTATATTCACAATGTTATGTTCACCACTATTTCCAGGACGTTTTCATCATAACAAACAAACAAAAAACTAACCAACAGGCAATAACAACCCTTTTTTCCCCTCTCCCCCAACCATGGTATAACCTCCATTCTACTTTTTATGAACTTGCCTATTCTCTACCTTACATATATGGAATTATATTTGTCCTTTTGTGTCTGGCTCATTTCACCTAGCATAATGATATCAAGGATAATCCATATTGTATTAGCCTATGTCAGGATTTCATTTTATGGAAGAATAACATTATCCATCTGTATGTGTGTATCACTTTTTATCTATTCATCTGTTGATGGACACTTGGTTTACCTTTAGTAATTGTGAATAGTGCTGCTATGAACACTGGTGTACACTCATTGCTGGATTTCTTAGAGACAGAGTCTCTAAATCATCTAAACCAGAGATTTCCAATCTCTTTCATCCTGTGGCATACATAAATCAATTACTAAATTTTGCAGCTTACCAAAAAATATTTTGTTTTTGCCAATCTGACAAAAATAGGTGTAATTTTGATTCACTCTGAACAGGTGGCTATAATCGTATTGGCTGTTGTCATTCTTTTTGTTTGAAAATCTAAGAGAAAAAAGGCCAGTGCCCTAGTCAGGTATTGCATGTTTTAAAAATTCTGGTGGCACACTGGTTGAAAATCAGTAATCTAAACTGACATGATGACCAGGATAATTTCAATTATATTGCACCATTTAAAAAGTAGAGACTTCTGCCTCAAGTTTTATGTAGTTTATAACCCTGCTTATACTGAGAATTAGAAAAGCAGATTTTAAACATAGGTGCAGGCATGTGCACACACTCGAGGGCATGAGAGCTGCTGAGAAAGACATAAATTCCATACTTCTGCTGATTATTGGTGTAAAGAGGCTGAGAAGCCAAACACAGGACAACATGAAAGGATGCCAATGGGGAAGACAAAAGAATAGTGTTAGCAGCTGGCAAGGCAGCTAGGAATTGGGAGCTCCAAGATCCCAGAGACAGAAAAATAAGCCTGACATGTCACTCAAGATATTTGCTCAGTAAGATGTTTAGGAAAAAATGCTGTTTCCAAGCATAAAATGGGTAAAAGTGAAGTAAAGCTCAAAAGAAGAGAAACACTTGGCTGTCAGTTGGTACCCCTCAAAACTATTTTTTAGAAAACGGAGGTGGACTACAAGATGGAATCTTACAAAGACTGCTAACCAGGCTTGAATTCACTCAGTGCTAATCAGAGTGAGGTGTTCTCCTGTGCTGCCTGCCATAATACCTTCTTGAATCCTCTCAAATGGAAGATCCAGAATATCTCCAAGTTTTAATACACAATGTCCAGTATTTTGTCAAAATCTACTAGTCATACCAAGAAAGAGATAATAGAAACCAACAAGTAAATCAGATATTGTAGCTAACAAAGATTTCAAAGTAACTGTGATTGCCCTGACTGGTGTGGCTCAGTTGGTTGGGCATCGTCCTGTAAACCGAAGGGTCTCGGGTCGATTCCCTGTCAGGAAACATGCCTGGGTTGTGGGTTCAGTCCCCACTTGTGGCACATATGATAGGCAACCAATCCATGTTTCTTTGTCCTTCCCTTCCCCTCTAAAAAAAAAAAATTAAAACTAACGGTGATTAAAATGTTCAAAATTTGATGACAAGAATTACACCAGACAACTAGAATCTGTAAAAATGAGTCAAATAAATGAAATTAAGTGCTCAATAGATGAGCTCTTTAACAGCAATGTAGAGATAGCTAAATATTAATGAGCTGAAAGATAATTTAATAAAAACTGTATACAATAATCAGCATCCTAAGTTATACCTATTTGCTTTAAATGAGGATAAATTTGCTTTGCTACTGTTTGTTTTACACAGGCAATTTATTTTAGAGGTAAAACAGAACTTTGAATTTCAAGTTAGAAGATTTGGGTTCAGGCCACATCTTCCTATCAGATGAGTGAATTTGGTAAAGATGGTTAACATCTCTAATTTCTTCCCTTGTAAAAAAATACATCTTGGTTATAGGGTTAAAAGAAAAAAAGTATGTATCATCAAACTGTTCTATAAACAGTGTACATATGGCATAAGGTACTAACAGTCCTGTATCTCTTTTTCCCCTCTTCCTGGTACATGGCCCAGGTAGAAATAACATTTTTTAGTATTTCTAGTGTATTCTGAAGACTATGCTCATTTCAGGTCAGCAGAACAGGAGCAAAAGTGGTTTTTCTAGTCACCTAACATAAGACATTCTGGTAACCCTGGACTTTGGTTCTTTCCTCTTCCAGCAAGTAGAAATGCAGATGTAACAGTGACCCAGTATAGACCACTTAAGCAAGACAGCTTAATGACTGAACCTCAGACCTGACTGACTCATGGTACATACCTGCATTACCAGCTCAGATGGGACAGACTGTTTAGTAAGAGATAATGTTCCAGGTTATTCAGGACACTGTATATGAACATCTCTTTGTCACAGCAATTTAGCCTTCATGCCAGTTATTAAAGCAAAAAACAAATGTAAATTACTGATCAAAGGCAACAAATTTCTTTAGCACAACTGTTATACTGCCTATTAACACATATGCAGAAAACTCAATTATAAGTAGTTTTGAGAAATGAGAATAACATAAAAGTTAATTCCCCCCCAAACTCTCTGGTGTTCTGATTCACATACCTCCAGAAAACAGAAGCCGTAAGAAAAGATTTGAGTGTATTTATGTGAAAGTTACTGCTGACATTAGGAAGCTGCTAGAGAAAACTGACAGAAGCAGCAGACGTATTTCAAATCAGAGAGAAATAATGAACAAGGAGAAACAGCAGTTGTAGTCCTAATATTTGGGGAGTTGGGCTGAAAAGTAAATATAAACAAGAGCGTATAAAAGCATCCAGGAGTCACTCAAAGATTGTTGAAAGGTATTTATTTGTATTTGCTTTTCACTGGCAAAGATTTTCAACCAGTATTTGAAGACTGAGGGAAGGAAACCAAGAAAGGTAGAAATACCAAAATGCCAAAAAGACAACAGATGGAAAGAAACAACCCAAAGGCCAAAGAACCCAAGCTCAAAGTAATTGGTAATGAAACAGTGTGCAACCAAGATGGGGCCCCAAATAGGGATTTGGAATGGGGTCCAGAACTTAAGGTGTACAGGAAATAGAAAGATATACAGGATGTCCTCACCCCTTCCCCCACAGGTGTGAGTTGGGGGAAGGGACACATGGAGTAGGAACATGCAGAGCTGTTTTGTACAGCAACAACTTTGCGGCTAACCTCTGGCATGGTCATTTAACATATCTATAACCTTTAACTGGTTGTATAGATACGTTAAATAGCTGTGGCCATGCTCTGATCCAGGGGGATGGAAGGGACTTCCACCCAAGATGTAACTGGGGGGCAGGTCCCCCTGGTTAGTGCCTGTGTGACAGCTTGGAGATTGTCTCCATTACATGGAGCCACACCTGCCCAGATTCACAATGGCAGCCCAGTAAACTTGGAATACTACAGGAATGCTGGCAGGTGTAACTGATTGTAGGAGGAGTCAGAAATGGGGGTAACAAAGGAAGATTGGCACAGAGATTTCAACCCAGACAGGGCAGCCATGGAGAGGAGAACCACAGTTTTGGCCAGAGTGGGGACTCCCGCAGCTTTGGTAGAACAGAAACATGAGGCTTTGGGGTGCTCCTTTTGGCCACGTGGCCTAGGAAGCAGGAGAGACTTTGCCTGGAAGAAGGGTGAAAGGACTCTTGCCAGTAGGGCATAAGAAGGTGTCATATGACTTTGGATTAACTGGGATCCAAAGCTGGAGATCCTGACAGCAACATAGCTGATGGTGCCAGGAGACTGAATCTACTTCTTTTCCTGAGATAAGGTTCCCAAAATTAGGGCAGAGGGAGAATAAAGGACTGTATGTGTCTGTGGGTATTCTAAAGGACTTTGGTATTTTAATGAAGACATTAGGTCACTACTTTAAGTCTGTATAGCTTTAAATAAACATTTCCTTGCCTTTTCACATATCTCTGGCATTGAGAGACATCTTTCCTCTGGTGGCAGACAATTCGAACCTAGTGGGGGGTCCTTTTGGTAATAGTATATCGTACACCCCTTGGCCCTGTTCTGTAACAGTAATACTATCCTCAGTGTATTCTTAACTCTAAGTAAGCATCCACAACTTTAGGAGTTATTGTTGAGAGATCTCAGCAAGAAGAATCACAAACTAACCTTGGCTGGGCTACTCTGTTAATAATCCACTGCTGGAAGCCACTCCTAAAGTTAATGCATCTACACCAGTTCTGCTACAGCCCTGACCCCTATACACATTTTCAAAGAAGTCAGCTTGGGACAACCAAAGTATTTTAAAAGCAGAACATTATGGTGCAGAGGTTCCTGTACAGTTAATGGTTACAGGTGGAATCATGCACCCCATTTACATTTCCTAATCACAGAAGACATACTTTTCAAGTATGCTGCAGCAGTGAGGTTCCCTCCTGCTATCCTTCTAAGGGGACCCTGAGTGAAAATGGGAAGCAGTGGGGGACAAGTTTATGCAGCTGGGCATAACTGCCACTGTTGTGAAATAGAAATAAGGTTCTTTTTCTGCTCATCGAGGTTGTAAAGTCAGAGGGATCCGTATTGAGAGCACCGATCAATATAAATCATTTTTCCTTTTGTTTAATATTGTCAGAAAGGATCAGAAATTATACATTTTACAGTAACAGGAGCATGAACAAAGCCTGTGAATATAAAGAAATATTCAATGAGATAGAACACATTAAAACAATGTAACACCTTGAAAATAAATACATATCAAATTAAGTATCCATATTTTTAAAAACCACACACTAAATTCAAAGACTGTGCATACATTTATTATTTCCTCACAACAAATTTATTGCAAAGTGTTAGAGAATACACATTTAAACTACGCTTTTTTTCTTCCTTCTAGTGCTTCTCAGTTTTCCCTTCTTCCCAAACACAGATCTGGCAGTTACCAGGACTGGTTTTGTTTTCTCTCTATCATCCTCACTAGAGCTGCTGCTGCTGGTGGTGGCACCTCCATCCCTTACAGGATCAGGTTTTACCGTATTCTGCAAATTTGAAGAGCGGATTTTTGCCTCTGAAGCTGCTTTTCCCTGCTGCATATTCATTAAAGATAAACATTCAGCATCCTCACCTGAGGATGCATCAGATGATTGCGAGAGGTAGGCTTCCCCCAAAAACCCACATTTACTCTCTCGTTTAGAATCTGAAAGCCTCATTCTTTTCAGGCTTGATGACTCTCTGCATTTATTTGCTATGCATCTCTTCTGAGTCTTAACTTTTGCTTTATCAGGGAACTCAAATTCTTTCTCCATGGCAACAGAAACTGCTTCTCTTTGACCGGCTTCTTCTCTTTCTTTCCTCAGCATACACGTCACAGCTCTGTTAAGTCTCTGGCTCTTAATAACTTTAGCATCTTGTTTCTCCTGTTGAGCTAATCTAAAGAAAGAATCAATTCGGAGCTGGGTCTAAAAAAAAATAAATAAAATAATAATAAATCAGACAAGTAAAGTTTCTAAAGCAAATCTGAGAGTTCCACTTTGTTTACTAGTATTTAAATGTCCATTTCAGAGAACACTAATTCGTTCTCTCTCAAAAGCCAGTTTTCTCCCAAATGAATCAAGAACAGTAATTTTTAGTGTCTACATCATACTTAATGCAGTATGATTCCTCCACAGACTTAAAGAGCATTAAGACATTAATTATTGCTTTGTACTTGACGCTTCCTAGACTTGTTAAAAAATAAAAATAGTACTAAAAGGAAAATATATTTAATTAAAACTACCTCAGTGTACAATCCATTATTACACAGTTTTTTTCCAAAATCGGAATGAGTCAAAAGGACACCAAAGTCCAGCCCTAAGGGTGACATTAGAAAATGAAGACAAAGTCCAATTTTTCTTTTACTGTTTTCTTCTGTTCTCATTAAATCATTTAAAAATGTATGTTACACGCCCTACAATAAGAGTAATAACTCTTTATCCTGAACTAGGAAAAGAGCTGCCATGATTACCTGCTGGGCATTCATTTGCTTTAACACTGGAAGCAGAGACTCATCTGTCTTTGTCCTATTCCAGCCAAAATAGCGCTGACAAAATATGCAGGCAGTTAAGACTTATACACATTTCTAAAGATATTTAAATAAATGATAAATAAAAAGGTCCAAAAAACCATCCTTGATTCCATTCCCCATATCTCCACAGATTTTCATATCTATAAAGATTAAAAGTGGTAAAAACAGGAGTAACAAAACAAATTACTCCAATATAATCATCTGACACTATGTTCTTTTCAATATCCTCTAAGATAAAACACATCCCACTCTCATTTTAGGACATCAAACACTCGTGACTATGAAAAAAGGTTACCCTAACATAAAAACAAGTATCATACATATTTCTTTGAAAGAAAAAACTGTAGTTACATTAATTCTATTACATTAGAACACTACTCAAATAATTATTTAAATATGCAGAGAGGAAAATAAGTAATTTTAAAAAACCTAATACCCTTCTATTCTTTCAGAATACTTAAGTACATGGTTATAACTATGAATGCTATACTACTTATTTCAAACAAAGATCCTCTTTAAGGATATTATTTACAATAGCAAAAATGTGGAATACCCAAGTGTCCAAATGTGGTATATACATAAACAGAATATCATTCAGCCTTCAAAAAAAAATTCTGATACTTGCTACAATGTAGATGAACCTTGAGTATATTGTGCTCAGCGGAAGTAAGCCAGACACAAAGGAACAATGCTGTATGTTTCCACTTATATGAAGTACTTAAAATAGTCACAATTACAGAGACAGAATATAGAATGGTAATGGCCAGGGGGAATGGGAGTTATTACTTAATGGGTATAGAGTTTCAGGTATACAAGACGAAAAGAATTATGAGGATGGATGGTGCTAATGGTTGCACAACAACATGAATGTCTTAATACTACTGAATTATGCACTTAAAATGGTTAAGAATATAAATGTACATTTTATGTGCATTTTACAATAAAAGAAAAAAAAAAACTGCCCTGGCTGGCGTAGCCCAGTGGATTGAGCGTGGGTCCAGTGGATTGAGCGTGGGCCTGCGGACCAAAGGATCAAGGTTTGATTCCCCTAGTCAGGGCACATGCCTGGGTTGTAGGCCGGTTCCCAGCAGGGGACACACGAGAGGAAACCATACATTGATATTACTCTCCCTCTCTCCTTCCCTTCCCTTCTAAAGATAAATAAATAAAATCAATTTTAAAAAACTGATAAAAAAAGAACTAAAAGGAACGTCTTAGACAAATGGAATATTAAGAAAATCCAAGTTCATGTTCCGTAAGTTTTAAATCAAAACACAGATTTGGCTGAATGTTCCTATGTTTTTAAGTAAAAGGATATTCTCTAATTTTGTCAAGATCAGGTTTCCCCCACAGAAACGATCCCCTGGAGTCGTCCACCACAGGTTTGAGGTAAGCATCTGCAACAGCTGTGTTAGGAAAGCCAGGTGGGAGTTGCAGTTTCCGTAACTTTTTTTTCACTTTAGTGTCATAAGGATTAGGTCTTATCTTCTTATTTTTCTGAGCTTCCTGCCACCATTCTCTATAAGGCAAAAGAAACAAGTCTTTATTAAGCAATAACATTACAGCAGATGTATTACAGATAAAGACCTAAACTTAAAGTTAGGAGACAGAAACTCCACTCCTAATTTCAAAACAAATCCTATGACCTACATAATACGATTATACTTAGTATTATTAACCATAATATATAATGATGGCAAACAATGATTAAAGATAACTCTGTGCTTTGCGCTGTTTTAACTGTTCTACACACCAATCATTACATGAGTACAGGCCTATCATTGTCCTCACCTCACAGACAAGGGAAATGAACTCAAAGAGAAGTAACTTACTCAAGATTTCACAGCTGAGGCTGGTACAGTCAGACCCTGATAATCTCCCTCCAGAGCCCATACTCATAAAAAAAAGTCTCAGCTTCTTCAGATCTCTTTCTCAGAGGTAAAATGGAGGAAATATATTTTTGTGTATTATTTATTTACCTTGAGTTAGCTACAATAATAGACCCAGAAATATTTAATAAAATGTGAAAATGCCAAAAACATGTTCAATTTCATGTTCAATTCTATGTAGAACATAATTCTACATAGAATATGATCCCAATTTTGGAAAAATGCATAAATTGGATAAAGAGAAAAACTAAAGATATTTAAGCAACATTATTTCACTGTGTGCTAGGCAATGCTCTAAGCAAGAATATAGCTGATCATTTTTTTCTTTATATTTTATTCATTTTTCAATTTTCCGTCATGAACATCAATTACTACGGCAAGTTAAAGATAGCTACACATTCTTTGACTCTTCCTTCTGGAAGCTGAGTCCATGTCCTCTTCACTTGAGCCAGGCAGATTTTGTGGCTGAAGAAGTGACACTCCTCCAGGCCCTCAGCAACTAGTTTCAACAACCTGTCCCTTGGATAATTTGCCTTGGAAGCAGCCAACACGCTCTGAGGAAGGCCCAGGTTATAAAGAGGTCCCAATAGAGAGGGTCCTAGGCCAACAGTCCTGTTTTGCATGAGGTTTGAGGTGATGGCACCATGTGTGATGCCAGCCATGTGTATGAGCCATCTCAAGAGAATCCTCTAGTCCAGGTGAGCTGTCCCCTAACATACATGGAACATGGCCTGACCAGACTGTGGATTCATGAGCAAAATCAGTAACAGATGCTGTTTGAAGGTGGTTTATAATGTGGCAATAGATAGACAGAATTTATACAATTTGAAAAAATGAATGGCATAATAGTTAAAACATAAATATAACCTTCACTAATCGATGCATTCAACAGAAACTAAAAAACCCCTACATCACGTGTTCTACTGTTTCACATACTTACAGTATTAACAATTCAGATACGCTGGCTCAACCAGTTTCACTTCACTGATGCAGGAGTGCCACCTAGCTTTAAAAAAGGCTAACTACAGACATCACTGTAGGATCAAAATGCAAAGAGGAGAAAATAAAAAGATCTTTCACTACTAATTTTACAGTACTGTTTTCAACAGTGCACTGAGAAGATACCCATATTTCCCCCCTACTCTGTTTGAATTTCATCTCTGAAGCACTCATCATAATTTTCAGTGAGGAAAATCAGCACAACACGCTGTGCGCTCATTAAACAAAAAGGATCACCCCTCTTTAACGCCAGAGGGGCAGGCACTTAACACAAAGACAGAAGACGTCGTCTGCCATTAGCTAAAATGTGAAGAACACAATACAGAGTTGGCAGCACCAATGATGAAACTAAAAGATTTGTACCCTGTCCAGCTGTTTTGGGACTTATCTGAGATTTGGGACCAATATTTTCAGATCTCATTTTCCTCCAAGAAAATCCAAAATTTTCTGTGAAATCTCCCCAAACTTAAATGTTGGTAGTCAATAAAAATTAAAGAAGAGGCCCTGGCTGGTGTAGCTCATGAACTGAGTGCAAGCCTGGAAACCAAAATGTCTCGTTCCATTCCCAGTCAGAGCACATGCCCGGGTTGCAGGCCGGGTCCCCAGTAGTGGGCACACTAGAGCCAACCACACACTGATGTTTCTCTCCCTTTCTTTCTTCCTCCCTTCCCCTCTCTAAAAATAAATAAATAAAATATTTAGGAAAAAATCTATTTTCAAAAATTAAAGAGCACACTGTAGTCTAAACAAAGCACACCTGGGCTGAATGCATCTTGAAGGTCCAGAAAAGCTCTACATTTATTTATCTATTTTTAAATCCTCAGCCAATATGTTCACTGATTTTAGAGACAGAAACAGAAACATCAATGTGAGAGAGAAACATCGACCGGCTGCTTTCCAATACACTCCCGGATGGGGCATCAAACCCACAACCTAGGTATGTTCCTGACCAGGAATTGAACCCTTCTGGTGTGTGGGACAATGCTCCAACAAACTGAGCCACCCAGCCAGGGAAAAGCGCTACTTTAAATGGAGTATGACTTGCTAGAGTGTAGTTAGGAGGAAAAAGCAGAAAAGAACACCAGGCAACATTCTCAATTCTATAGCTCTTCTATTGCTCCTCTTGTTCTTTACCTTTGCATTCACCCTAACCCTCCTGATCCATGTACTGCAATAGGCTGCCCCTAACTGTCAATGAAGAGCTGGAAGACCATAGGCAGAAACTGCTAAAGCTGACTCAAAACTGTAGACTGTTCAACTGGCAAAAAAAGAGTAAAAACTGATGGAAGAAAAAAGGTATAACAGGCTAGGCACTAAATCAGAAATGCAAATGTTTAATGTCAATAAACATTTTTAAAAATCACTATCATTAATGACTTTAATGGTACACATTGATGATATACCATGTTCTATTACCAGGAGAGTTACAAGTGACATAAAAAGTCTATAGCATCATCCATGTAAAAAATAATAATAGTAAACACACACATAAGTATACATGTGTATGTATGTATTTATATAGCTGACCCTTGAACATCATGGGGGTTAGCAGCACCAACTGCACACAATCAAAAATCCTCCAATAACTTTGGCTCACCAAAAATTTGACTACAATTATCCCTCAGTATATAAGGGGACTAGTTCCAGGATCTTCTGCAGATACCAAAATCCATGGATGCTCAATGCCTTATATAAAATGGCACAGAACAATATACACAGTTGGCCCTCTGCAAGTGCCAATTCCCAAACCCAGACAGAAAATACTATTTTCAGGGCAGCTGGGAGAGGAGAGGACACACGGCAAGGCAATAGCTGGCGGACTGGGCAGGCAAGGCAGTGGCTAGCATTCCCACATTCTCATGCAGATAAACGGGGAGGAACAACTGGAGAATGAGACAAACTGCACAAACCAGGGTGCCAGCATGGGAAAATAAAGCCTCAAAACCTCTGGCTGTAAAAATATGTGGGGGGTGCGTTTGTGGGAGAAACTCCTAGTCTTACAGGAGAGTCTACTGAAGGGACCCATAGGGTCCTAGAATGTACACAAACCCATCCAACCAGGGATCAGCACAGAAAGGTACAATTCGCTTGTAGGTAGGGGGGAAGTGACTGAAAGCCAGCAAGAGCCCAGCAAGTGGCATTGTTCCTTCTCAGACCCTTCCTACACATACAACACCACAACCCAGCAGAGATGGTTGCCCTGCCTTGGCTACTACCTAAAGCTTTGCCCCTTACAATGTAACAGGTGTGCCAAGTCAAAGAAATACGGCCCAAATAAAAGTACAGATCAAGCCTCCAGAAAAAGAACTAAGCAATGAAGAGAGAGCCAACCTACCAGTTCAAAACACTGGTAATGAGTATGCTCACACAAATGATTTGAGGTTGGTTGCAAAACAAAAGAAGAAATAAAAGCTATACAAATTGAAATAAAAGAAAATATAGAGGGAACCAACAGTGAAGGGACAGAAACTAGGACTCAAATCAACAATTTGGAACAAAAGGAAAAAGTAAGTATTCAACCAGAACAGAATGAAGAAACAAGAATTCAAAAATCAAGGAGACTTACGGACCTCTGGGACAACTTTAAACATTCCAACATGCAAATTGTAGGGGTGCCAGAAGATGAAGAGGAAGAGCAAAAAATAGAAAACATATTTGAAAAATAATGAAAGAAAATTTCCCCCATCTGGTGAGGAAAATAAACATTCAAGTCCAGGAAATTCAGAGAGTCCCAAACAAGTTGGACCCAAAGAGGACTACACCAAGACACATCATAATTAAACTGCCAATGATTAAAATTAAAGAGAGAATCTTAAAAGCAGCAAGAGAAAAGAAGTTACCAACAAAGGAGCTCCCATAAGACTATCAGCTAATTTCTCAAAAGAAACCTTACAGGAAAGAAGTATTCAAAGTCATGAAAGGCAAGGACCTACATCCAAGATTACTCTATCCAGCAAAACTATCATTTACAGTGGAAGGGCAGATAAAGTGCTTCCCAGATAAGGTCAAGTTGAAGGAGTTCATCATCACCAAGCCCTTATTATATAAAATGTTAAAGGGACTTATCTAAGAAAAGGAAGATGATCAAAACTAACAGTGATAACAAACTCACAACTATCAACAACTAACCCTATAAAAAACAAAACCAAAATAAACTAAGCAAACAACTAGGACAGGAACAGAATCACAGAAATGGTGTTCACATGGAGGGTTATCAGCAGGGCACGGGAAGGGGAAAAAGGGGGAGAAGGTACAATAAATAAGCAGCATAAATGGTAGGTAGAAAATAGACAGGGGGAGGTTAAGAATAGTATAGGAAATGAAGAAGCCAAAGAACTTATATGTACAACCCATGAACATGAAATAAGGGGGCAGAATGTTAAAGGGAGGGAGGAAGGTGCAGGGTGGAGGGGGATAAAGGGGTGAGAAAAATGGGACAACTGTAATAGCATGATCAGTAAAATATACTTAAAAAGAAAAAGAAAATACTCTTTTCAACATAGATAGAAAACTTAAAATACAGAGTTTGACTGTATAGTTATAGGAAAAAAATCCATATATAAGCAGTTCGAAGGTCAAATGTATATATATAAAATGTATGAGTATATTGTGCAAAGTCTAAAATTATATAAACCAAAATGTTAATTATCTGTCTAGTCCATATTTTATAATTTTTCTATTATGTATTTATTATTTGTATAAAAAATCTCCTTGTGGTTGTTCAAATTATTGAAATACCATGACCTACAAGCACCCTAATAACTTACTTCCAGTATATACATTTCTTCAATAATAAAATCATGAAGAGGTATAAAAAAAAGCATAAAATAAAATACACTGGTTGTATGCTAAGGCTGTAGGACAGCAACCATTAAAACAATTTTGTATTTCCATTTGAATTCTAATCACTGATTCTTCAGACCAGAAAAACCCAGAATTTTTCAAACTCATGATAAAAAAATCATGAAATCATCTGTTGTGAAATAGTATCTCATGACATATTGATGGTTAGAACATGAGATCACAATCTTGTGAATAGCCTGTAAGCCACCAAATAGTGCACTTTTAAAAGAGTGAAATTTATGGTGTGTGAATTATACTTCAATTTTTTTTTTAAAGATGCCATCAGGGTACAACCTTAAGAAAGAACTACTTTCACAGACATACTCATAACTACCAACATCTGAGAATCTCAAAAACTGAAGTGTACCCCAGATTTAGGACAACTCTTAGGTTCTGTGTGGAATGCACCCACCACTGAATACATCATAGTACACAAGCAGTGAGAAAAAGGAAAGCAGTGCGTAACATAAAGTTCCTGGCATTATATTTCCACGCCCCTCTCTGACAACCCCTTTCAGGACACTCAACAAACAGAAGTACTAGTATGTGTTTGTTTCTCTGTCACTTCCAAGAGCATGGGAGCTGCTTGAGGGGATGGTCTATGACTCAGCCCTCTTTCCTATCCTAGCCTAGCACAGTGTCTGACACGAAGTAGCTACTTAATAAATATTTGAAGTAATGAAGCAGCAACTTCTACACACCTAGGTAATCCCAGAGGACTGGCTTTGTACCCTTGAATTAGGATAAACCTGACAACTCTAAAAAAAAAAAAAATGATCTCTGATTTCATCAGATTTCTAAAAAAAGGAAAACATATTTTAGCAACCCTAATCAATACCTCCTCCTGTTTTCTTAATGAACAACAATTGTAACAGGTCATAGTGTAAATAATAGCTCTGACTGGTAATCTGTGTACTTATATGAACATCTGGATTAAAGAAATTAAAAAAGAACTTACGAGAATTTTAGGAGAGGTTCCAGGCCATGTCCAGGGAATTCATTGAGAATTTCCATAGCTGTAACACAACCTACAGTTGGTATTCCTTCTGTGTAATCACTCCCAAGCAAATAGGCCAAAATTATTAATTTGTTCCGGTCCAATCCTATAAGAATAAAAATTATTACATATTTTTAATTTAAATTTTATTGTAGAAATATTATAACATTTATAGACATTTTATTATATCAACAATATATATGTATACACATTCTCATCCAGCAGCCAAAGACATCTCTTATTTACTATTTGAAACAAATTCTTTTTCTATTGGCATTCTGTTAAGAATTTTAAAGTTTCATCCATCTTCACAGCTTTTAATAACACAATTAAATACCATCTATACATCAACCCACAAATTTAGCTTTCTAGCTGGCTTTCTCCTCTGAACCACAGTCACACATACTCAACAATTACCTTAACATCTCTACTTGGATATGTACTGGGCATCTCAGATATAACAGATCCAAACCTGGATCTTATCTCTTCTACTCCAACTGCTCCTTCCCTGGATTCCCTTACCTCATTAATAGTGAGTCCTTGCTCAGGACAAAGAGTCACCCTTGACTGTTCGCCTTCTCTCAAATCACACACCTAATCCACCCAGAAATCCTTTCTATAGCATGGCAGACCCTACTTGGTTTAGGTTTCTTCCTTCCTCTCTGATATTTACTCTTGCTATTCTCATTCACTCACACTGGCCTCTCCTTAGTTTGCTCAGACAGTGACAATGAAGTACCCAGACTGAGTGGCTTAAACAACAGGAATTTATTTCCTCACAGTTCTGGCGGTTAGAAATTTTAAGGCACAGGTGGCAAACACAAGGCCCTTGGGCTGAATCCAGCCCTCCGCCTTGTTTTATCCAGCCTGACACCTTGTTTCTGCCTGGCAGCAGCACCGAGCCCCTTACCCCTAGCTAAGGAGTAGTTACATTTACACAGTCCTAAAATTACATTCGGCCCTTTGAAGGCAACCGCAAGGCTGATGTGGTCCCTGGTGAAAATTAGTTTGATACCCCTGTTTTAAGGTATTGGCAGGGCTAGTTTCTTCTGAAGGCCTCTCTCCTTAACTTGTAAATGACTGTCTTCTCCATGTGTCTTCCCTTTTCCCTCTATATCCCAATCTTCTTTTCCTATAAGGACACCAATCAGACTGTATTAGGGTCCACACTAATGACTTCATTTAATAATTACCTCTTTAAACACTATATCCCCAAATGCAGCCACGTTCTGAGGTATTTGGGGGGTTAGAACTACAATATGTGAATTTTGAGGGGACAAAATTCAATACATAACCACCTTTTGCTTCCCTACATCAACCAAGCTTCTGACCAAGGGCCTTTGCACATACTCATCCTCAAGAGACAATAGCTATAACAGTAGTTTCTGCTTCCCTTTAGACCTTAGCCTAAAAGTTACCTATTAGTAAAGCCATTCCCAACCAAAACTTTACATGAAACAGTACATATACTTCATGTAACTCTTTCACTGCTTTATTTTTCTATATAGCACATGCCACTAACTGTGCAGTTATGATTTATGTTTTTCTATTAGACTGTTTTATTTTTCTGCTGTTTCTCCACTGCCAAGAACAACAACTGGCATGCCTACTGGATAAATGGGACAATAAGAGACTGCCAGAAACACCGGTATAGGACCATAAGGTTCATGATTCCAACCGGAGAGACTCCCACCTGCCTCCCATCTCTACATTTGGTTCCCTCTTGAGAGATCAGGTAACTAAAGTCTAACCAGGTCAGATGATTAAATTGCAGGAAACGTCTAAACATACTAGGCTTTTAATTTCTTCATTCTAATTTTAAAATCCTGTTTCTCTAATAAGCAAAAGATCACTTATATGAAAATTTCTATCATTTCCATTAATATATCAAGTTAGCTCCTCAGAAAGAAAAAAATCAATACAAATTCTGAAGGTAAAGTTCAGAAAGTAATCATACTCTGAAGTCTTACCTAACTGGTTGTGAAAGTCCACATACTGGTAATATTCTACAAACTTGTTTTTATTAAAAAAGTTTTTATAGACATGTCGTGCTCCAAACAACCAAACATCACTATCGTCAGTGATTGTTCCAGAAGTTTGATCAGTCAGATCCAGAATGGCACACTGAGCCTCTGCTTCCATGGGAGCCTCAATATAGGGAATTCCAAACAGGCGAAGAAGTTCCTAAAGAATTACAGATAAACAATGACCACCACCTGGCCTTGACCCTTGACCCTTAAACATTTCATTTAATACCTCCCCTCAGGGAATCTGCTTAAGTAAAAATATGAGTAGGTGTAATGAAAAGGGGCCCAAGTTGGTACACCTACCTGGCTTTCCAAAAACATCTGTCCTGTAACAGTAGCAGCAATCCGTTCTTGCTGCTGTTTTTTAGCTTTCAATAAATTCTGTTCTGTTAAAAGATCACTCTCCAGAGTTTCCAGCTCTGTCTACAAAATAATTTCATTTGTAGATCATTATACTAATAACCCAATTAATTTAATCTATTACAAAAGCCTGCATCTAGTCTGACTGAAATTACCAATAAACTTTTCCTTTTATGAAGTTTTCCACTTGGATTTTTGAGCAAGTCTATAATATCTTTAGAGTTCCCCCCTCACTAAATCCCAGGGAAAGTGGAGACTTTCCCAAACCTACATAAAAAAAGGCACCATCAGCAACAACAAAAAGAGGCACACAAATAGCTAATAATATTCAACCAGTAACTCCTTAAAACTCAAAAGCTACTTAACACGGCTTCCTCAGCAATAAGTTAAAGCACAAAGTAACATTATTACCAAATCAATATCTTGCCATTCATTGAGCAAATTATCTGCATCTTTTTGAGTTTCTTCATGTGGTTCAGTACCCAAGGGCTCATTTTCAGAGTTGTCTCCTAGGAAGCCTTCAGAGTCACCACTGTATTCTTCTTCCTTAGGTCCTATCAGTTCCTCTTCACCTTGTACAGAGGGAGGTTTGGCAGCTTCTGCTAACTCAGTTTGAGGTTCGTCATCTACACTCTCCACTTCAATGAAACTTCCTGTACCAAAATAATAAAGTCTCTTTATCTACAACTGAAACATTAAATTTATCCTGAAATCATCAATAGCTTTCTAAGGTATTCTGAAAAACTGTTTACCCTAAAAAGAAAAAACCTAAATGTAGTAGAAAACATATGACAGTAGAATATTACTTTAAATAAATTTAATAATAGAAGCCTGTAACTTCAGAATAAGCCTTTTTTAAAAACAGTGCTTTTCTTGTTTTAAGATAATTTATTTATTTATTTTTAAAGAGTGAAGGGGAGGGAGAAAGAGAGGGAGAGAAACATCAATGTGTGGTTGTCTCTCACATACCCTCTAGTGGGAACCTGGCCCACAACCCAGGCATGTGCCCTGACTGGGAATCAAACTGGCAACCCTTTGGTTTGCAGGCCAGCACTCAATACACTGAGCCACACCAGCCAGGGCAAAATAAGCCTTTCAAATAAACAAACTGGCATTGTCTTTCAAATTAGGAACCATGTGTTCAAATGTCTGGTCTGCATATTAACTTTACACAAATACATTCTTTAAATTAACTATTACTGTTGTAAAATTCAAAAAGGAGAATTATTGGGACATGTAAACGATCATGGAGGTCGTAAAAGAAGTTCTTGGGAATTTCACTATGAACACAGCAAAGACTAAAGCTGTGACTTAGTGGGAAAAAGTCCTCAACAAGTACTCGGGAGAAACAGCTCTTCATCTTCTAATTTCCTTCCCTCCTCTCATGTCTTTTCTTTTTAAAAATGTGTTGTTTCCCTTCCTTCCCTTCAGGCATAGGGGGCTGGGGCTCAATGAGGATGGAGGGGGCTGGGGCTCTCAGGGCCTGCAGCCTGGGTTGAGGAGAAAGCCTAAGCCGAGGAGGAGGCCAGTCAGATCAGGAGATGGTTACAAATAAAGAGAGAATAAGCAATAGGTACCTGTATTGAAGATAACGAAAGCAAGAGTTCTCACTATTAGAAAGGAAAGTTACAAAAAAGGCAGAGGCTAAAATGAAGTCTGGGATGTTGGACTGGAAGTGCAGATAGCACTGTGAATTTATGGATTTTAATACATACATAGAAGTGTGCACATGTATGTATATATAAATAAATATATTTTCTGGCTCTGCTGCTGGGAGGGCCTAAAGCAATGACATCCCAGCAACAGTAAGCACACTCAGTGTCCAGATCTTGATTTCTAAACCCCATGCCATTACAAGGAAACAGGCCACTTGGCAAAATAGCTGGTTTAAGGAAAGGGCAGGGAAAGTACAAGATAAACCTGGAATATCTTGGCCAGAAAGTAAAGAAATGCTCAAAACATAATGAGTAATTGTGAAAAATTAAAGGAGCCAGCTTGAGGGAACAAACTAGCCACTGGCCAAAGCTAAGACAATTCCAGCAACAAAGTATGACAGTACCATAACTCATAACTGAATAAAATAAGAGTCCATGACTCTACACTGATGAAAAAATAATAAATGGGGTAAAGGGAAAGATCTTCCTTATAGTAGGATGCCGACTAACAAATATATAAAAAATGGAATTAGAAAATCACCATTTGGCAACCATCATAACACAATTTATTTTGGTAAAAATCATCAATGGATGCTAAAACAAGTCAGTGAAGGCTTGTTCAGTACATTTATATAGTTCACAATATTCCTTTCCATAAAATACTAATTACAAAGGAAAAATAGCAACTCTAAAGTATAGAAACCTGGCAGACACCAGAAAAAAATTACCATGTGCAAGTATGCAAGAGGGGAGTAGTGTGTACACAGTCATTTCTTCTTATTCACAGCAGTTATGTTCTATAAAGTCCCTGAGAACATGAATACTGAATCTTTTCACCTAGAGAAAATATATTTATAATATTAAATCCTAAAAACAACCCATCTTGGTAAATTCCATTTATTTTACAAACAAGAAAACAAGGTTCAGGAGTTTTAAGAGACTTGCCTGAGGCCACCCTATGAATTGCTGCCAGAATTGGGATTCAAACCCTATCCAACTGGCCCCAGAGCCACAGCTTCTTGGTCTACACAGCATTGCTCTCTCCCATCTCCACCCTTCGGTCTTCTCTATAGACAGTAGAAACAAGAAGGCAGAGTGTCACCTTGCTCAATCTCAGCTGCAAACGGTGTGGCAACTCCAGTTTTTAGCTGCTCTATGCATGTCCACAAATGACCAGAAAGCCTGTGCCATAAGTATTAAATCTGGAGTCACAAGTAAATTCTGCAAATACAGAATCTGTAAATAATGATGATTGGTCATATAAAATTATATAGATATAGATACACAATACACATGCATATGTATAAAGACAGACAGGATGAGAGATATGATAAAGCCAAAGTGGTAAAATGCTAGCCAGTGAGGTAAGAGGGTGAAGAAACCAGAATGTTTTATAGTATTCTTTTGACCTTTTTAAGTTTGTAATGAATTCAAAATAAAAAGTTAAAAGAACTAAAAAGAAACTCACTTTTATGTTCTCCAATTAGGGTATGGCCTCCCTTTAACAATAACAAAAAGAAGAGTAAAACAGGAAAGGTCAAGATTCCATCACTAGCTATGTGTCCTTGGGAAAGTCATTTCACCTTTCTGGGTCTCTAGGTCATCACCTGGCACAGAGGGAACTGGACCATCACCTGACAGTGAGAACTGAGTTCCTACAAATGTGAAATCCCACCATTCTTATCTCTAAAAAAGATTAAGCACCTACCATCAGATTCACTTTCTTCAGAGTCAATTCCTATTGGTTCTATGAACTTTGGAGCTGAAATTAAATCCTGGCCACCAGATTCCATCGTCTCATGTTCTTGGATGGTTTTCAGGAAATCCTCATGCTTTTTAGGATTCTCTAAGCTATTTATTGTCTCCGAAGGAATACTTAATGTATTACTCACTTCTTGCAAACTGACAGTATCAATAACTTTGGAAGCAGAATTTTTTTCATATTCTGCATCATTGCTTGAAAAAACAGAAGAATCATACCTATTCTCAGATGGACAAAGATCTTGTAGGTTAAGCACTTTGGTACATGTTTCATTCCTTGATGCAGAACTTGGACTTAAAGGAGGTGTTGTCAGTTCTCTTCCACTTTGGAGCCCACTTGCATTCATCTGTATTGCCACTGTGTTTTCCAAAGGAACTGGATCTTTCCTATCATTAACTGTAGGCTCATCACTTGTCTGAAAGGATTCCTCAAACATGTAAATAAATGACATTTGTTCTTTTGGAATGCTAGACTCACTGCCTTGACAAAAGACAGTACCTGACAAAGGAGCTGAGTTTGCAAGCTCCTTTTCATTATTAGTGCTGGTTACACACTCTTCTACACAGTTTACAATGGTTGAATGAGGCAGTCTTGCTAACAGAATTCCTTTTACATCTCTGGTTTTAAATCCATCATCAGCTTCCTCATCAGAACTGTTCACAAACAGCTGTTTCGCTCCTGACTCTCCTGTCTGCACATCACTCCCAGAGTGCACTTTCACATCTTCATCATCATCAAGAGCTTTCTGAATAGCCAAGAGGGTCAGTGGTGATACAGAGCCTTCATCTACAGTAGCAGATGCACTCCTCTTATTGTACTGCCTTTGACTGTCAATCTCCAACTTCTCTTCAGTGCTACTTTCCAGCAAGGCAGCTTGCATAGCTGGTACAATTTGTGGAGAAGCAGGGGTAGCATCAGACACTTTCTCTGGCTTAAGTTTTTCACATGGAGATGACTTTAAGTCAAAAGACATGCTGCACATTTTGCTGGAAGATGGAAAAGACTCTGAATCCACATTTGCAACTTTCTTAGCTTGTATACCTTAAGAAAAAGCAAAACATTCTCACTATGTAGATTTACAGTATAGTAATATACTTCTAATAACATGAATATGAGTATACAGGTTCTCATAATTGAATCCACACATTTTCATTTAATTAGCAATTAAGAGTTAACTCATTAGCTCATTTTAAAGTGGGTTTAAACCCATTAAAACAAGTAATCCATCAATAGCTTTACATAATTACTATCATTGGGTTGGCCAAAAAGTTCATTTGTTTTTTTTCCATGAGATGGCTCTAGTAGCACTTAGCTGTCTTTTAACTGCATTTGAAACAATTTTGTTTTATCAAAATTGTATTAATACAATTGTATACATCAAGATTGTATTGTGACAGGTGTCATATCAGCATGCATCTTTAAAAAACTTATCAAAACTGAATTTTTCTGCAGCCATTTTAACACTGAATATGAAAGAAAATACATAACATTTGGGCATATTATGTAAAAACACAACTGAAATGCAAAAGATCTGTGCAGTGTATGGAGAAGGTATTGTGATGATCAAACATGTCAAAAGTACTTTGCACCCTGGCTAGTGTAGCTCAGTGGATTGAGCACAGGCCTGCAAACCAAAGGGTCACCAGTTTGATTTCCAGTCAGGGCACATGCCTGGGTTGCAGGCCAGGTCCCCAGCAAAGGGCACATGAGAGGCAACCACACATTGATGTTTCTCTCCCTCTCTCTCCTTCCCTTCTCCTCTCTCTAAAAATAAATAAAAATATTTAAAAAAAAAATAATAATGATAAAGTAGTTTGTGAAGTTTCATGCTGGAGATTTCTCGCTGCATGATACTCCATGGTAGGGCAGATGAGTTGAAGTTGACAGTGATCAAATTGAGACATTAACTGGAAACAATCAATGTTATACCACTCAGTAGACAGCCAACATACTCAAAATATCTAAATCAAGAAAATTATTGGTGAAGATGAAAAACATGTCTTTTACTTTATGGAAAAAACTAAACAAACTCTTTGGCCAACCCAATACATAAGTAGGACTTCATTAATATTATCCAGGCGTGGTAGTTTATAGAATTCAGAGACACAACATATTGTTGGCTTTTAACTATCAAATAAGTGCCCAATACCTTTTATCAAGATGTAATGTGAAGTGTCTTCAGAGACCACTCTTCTTGATTCCACCTCCTTCAAAAAGCCCCCTTCATCTTCATATTGCCTTTGGATTTGTCCTGAATGTTGCTGATTCATTTCCTTTTGAACATTTTCAATATGTTGGTTTAGGTAATTTTTTTTAAGTAAGCCTTTGAGCTGGTACTGTGAAAAGTCATTGGACTCCTAAAGCAAAATAAATAATGTGATGTTTTTAAATATTAAATACAGATAATATTACTATATATCCATCTTTTTCCCAAAAGGTTGACAAAGAGCAACTGATTTTTTTATTGATATTTCCATACTACAAAACAAGTAAAATTTGAATATGTAGGAAAAAACTATAACATTGTAATTTTTAAAACAAAAAGAACTGAACAAAACAAAAGAAACCATGGGTACTGATCACTCATTCAAAAAACATAAATTAAGGACATGATGCAAGGCAGACACTGTGACATTTTGATGTGGGCTTAATAAATGCAAGTAAATAGGCAAGTTAAGTGCCCAGCATAGTCTCTAGCCCATAAAAGACCCACAATAAATCATAGCAACCACAGTTATTAATTATAACTGTTAATATCTGTAAAATATTTCCTGTGTAATGCATTCTTCTAAGTCACAGGTGGCAAACACAAGGCCCACAGACCAAATCCAGCCCTCTACCTTGTTTTATTCAGCCTGGTATCTTGTTTCTACCTGGTGGCACCAACCTCTCACTTAACTGTTAAGGAGTAGTTACATTTATACAGTCCTAAAATTACATTCGGCTCTTTGAAGGCAACCACAAGGCTGATGTGACCCCCAGTCAAAATGAGTTTGAGACCCCTGTTCTAAGTGCTTTTATATATATTATCCCATTTTATTCTCGACCACCAATGAGACAAATAACACCTCAATCTAAAAATGAAAAAACTGACACTTCTACAGGTTAAGTACCTTTTCCAGAACCACATAACTAATAATTGGTAGATCTGGGATCAAAAGCAGATCTTCTGATTAACCCTTACACACACTGCTTCTATTCTATTACTCTTATGATTATTACTATTACTCTTCTTACCATCATTACTATTATCAGTATTGTATTTGCCCAATGTTCAGATGATAGAATGACCCAATTTGGAAGATTCAGAACTTCCTTCCCTTACCTGTCAGAATTACAGATCCAGTGACCTGCTACACCATGCTACCCTAGTCTACAGATCCCAGAGACTCTGTGGTGGCAGAAAATAAAGCAAGTGGAGCAAATCATTTGGGACTGTCGCTCTTTCTCTCATTCCTTCCCACTGTTGTTTACATAATCCAAATTCTATTTCCTCAAAGCCCAGCCAAAGGTCCTTTCACATTCAAGAAATAAAATGTTTGATTCATAGACTGAGCCTGGATGTTCCCCCTAAAATAAAAATGAAACATTTTCTTTTTTTAATTAAATTGAATATTCTGTCCATTTCATTTTATAATAATCTTGTTGTTGTGTAGCCTGTTACTATCTTCATGGTCAGATCATATTTGCTCCCTACCAACAATTTGTTGGTAGGCTAAACTGGCATAAAAGATCTATTTCCTGGAGCCACTGTTTAGTTATTACTGAAGGATTCCTGATCTGTCACATCATACACAACTATGATGCCATGGGCTCCTCTATAATAACTGGAGGTTATTATTTGAAATATCTCTTGGCCTACTATGTCCCATATTTGAAGCTTGATTGTTCTCCCATCTAACTCTATAGTTCTTATTTTGAAATTCACACCAACAGTCCTAATGTAGCTTTCTGTATATGTATCATCTGCAAACCTAAGGAGGCAAGATTTTCCAGCTCTGAGGTCTCCAATCAGAAGCAACCTGAATAAGTAATCATATTCAACATTCATGACGGACATATCACTGCAGCTGTTGCTACCATTATCACCCTTGCTACTGCAACTGCTACCCTGACTCTCCTGGCCAAGACTAATCAGAGAGGAATAAGATAGGCTGTTCTGGAAGAACAAATGTCTTACCCTACTCTGACCCCACAGAACACAATCAGCAGCCATCGCCACTCAGCTGTAACTTCCACCCAAAATAAAAGAGACTTCTGTCCTACTTCCTGTATTCATATTCTTCATGTAAAAGTAGAAGAGTGACGGGCAAAGAAGTATCTCCTGCCTTTTTTCATATTTTGTTATCAATTTAAGAAATGCCAAGTTTGTAGAAAAAATAACGTCACATCCATTCATTAGGAATAATAATGCTGCAAAAATTTATATTCTGTCTAAAGGGAGTTAAAGGTATAGAAGGTTAGATATAATAGGTGGTAGCAGTAGAAAGGAAAACAAAACTCATTTACCAACTAAAGATGATAATAATTAATGGTATAGCATTATCAGGAGACATGTTCAACAAACCCAACTCTCTATGAGACCCCACTCAGGGTTGCTGTGGCTGTGGAGTCACTATCAGATGATCTAATTTGAAGAATTTACCAGTGAATTCCCTCCTACCTTTGTACTGGAAACATACTGTATAAGTAATGCTTATCGATTTTTTTCTAATGAAAAATATTGCTGCAGTTCTCAATTCTACACATTAATGTGCTAGAATATACTTTACCTCAGGCATTGCTTCAAATAATGTTCTTCTTCGTTTTGTAAATTCTTTCATATCAGTCAAGATTTCATGCTTTATTTCAGGGGGCAGGCTGGTGAAGTCTTCAGACTCAATGTCTACTGCATGAGGATTCTGAAAGAACTCTTCCTGTAAAGAGTAAAACATTCATACACTTAATGCTATTTATCATGATAGACATTTTTATGTTTATGTCAACAGAGTTCTACATAATCTACTACAGGCTAAACACAATTGTACAGAATATACAATAGGTATCTAAGTGAATGGCAGATTAGGGAATGTACCTATTCACTCATTCATTCATTCAAAGGAAAAAATACCAGGCACCTGTAGCGTGCCAACCACTGTTCTAGGTGCTAAAGTATTATAAAGATATACCAGGTAGGGTTCCTATGCTCAGAAGTGAAGAAAGACATAAACAAATAAGTAAACAAGACATGATGAAAAATAAAGCAGGGTATTCTGATAAGAAAATTAATTAGAAAAGAAGAGGGGAAAAAAACTTCATAGAGAAGATACCCACTAAAAAATGACCTTGAATAGGGATGTGAAAGACAATAAAAAGTATTCTCAAGGACAAAGCATTACAGCCAGAGGGAACCAAGTGCAAAGGCTTGATGTAGGGATGAACGTTATGAATTTAAAGAATACTTACTATTTCCTTAATTAGATTAATTTTATTTTGCTCTTAAACTAAAGTTAAAAGTGAGAAATTTCATAGATATGGAAAATTCTAAAACATTTCTAAATTTTAACTAATTACCAAGAGTACTTTAAAACTGTTCATCAGTAAAGAAAATACAATAATGCAATTTGCTCTCCAATATGTTGTTACCTATGTGCAAATCAACGAGCACTTAGGGTAGACCAGTCATTATGCTCAGAGCTTCTCATGCTTTCCCTCACTAATGTTCTCATCAGCTCTATAAGGAAGGCTTTGATATTATTTTGTTTATAAAAAAAAAACAATAAAGCCTTGGTGAAGTTAATTTTGCCTAGGATAAAACAGCTCATGAACAGAACCTGGACTTAAATGAAGCTCTTTCTGACCACAAGGTTCAAGGTCTTTACCAAGATTACTATCAGTTGAGGGATCCCAGAGTTTTAGCTCAAAAGTCTTCGATGAAATGTATCGAAATTACATTAACTTACAAAAAACAGTAAATTTGGAAATCAAAGAATATTACCTATTTTGAGAACTTAAAAAATTTTCAAAAACTTGTACATGCTGTTACCTCAATTTGTAAAAATGTTATTAAAATATGTATGATATTAAAATATCTTAATACCACACATACTCTAAAACATGTCCACAGGTTCTCTAACCCACATCTTCTCTAATTTCCCTTAAATTAAATATGGGCATCCTTCATATGTTTATAATGAACAGAACTTGGTATAAGGAATGCTGCACATTCCAAAGCTGACTAGAAAGGAAACACAGGTCCTGCCTGGCACTTCCTCTTGGGATGCCTACCCCTGGAACACAGTGCCATGCTGTAGAAGAGCTCAGGCCATGTGGAGATGTCGTAGGCAGGTGTTCTAGCTGACAACCAGCATCAACAACTGGATGTGCAGACATGCAAGTGAGGAGACCTTTGAAGAGACTCCAGTCTAACTACACCAACACAGGAGATGCTGATAGGGAACTGCCTCAGTGAGTTCATCAGAACAGTAAGAGATGATGATAACAAATTATTGTTTTCCCACCACTAAAGTACAAAGCAATAGATAACTGGAACATATAATATTAATGCACAGACATACATTTACATATATATATATATATGAGAGGGGACCCCCAAAAAACTGGAATTATTTTCTGGAGAGTGGGCCCCTTGTATTACTGGCTTCTCCCACTAGGTGAGTGTTCTAGTAACCCATCCTTACCAGTGAGCCAGCTGGCACTGTTGTAAGAGGCTGCATTTGGCTTCAGTGAAGTTTTATGAAGACTCAACACGTCTGCCCATTTCATGATGGGTGATTTACAAGTGCACCCGATCACATCGTGCTGAGCGTTCAGCAATTTTTCACCAAAACAGTATGATCCTTGTGCCACACTCTCCCTAAATCACCCAATCTCACCTGGTGCAACTTTTTTTTTTCCCCAGATGAAAAAAGTCCTCAAAGAGAAATGATTTTCAGATGTGGAAGAGGTGGGGGGAAAAGGCAGAAGCACAGAAAGGCATCAAAATCAATGAGTTTAAAAACTGTTTTGAGCAGTAGGAAAAAAGGTCTCAACGGGTGTATTATATCAAATGGAGAGTACTTTGAAGGTAACTGAAGTTTAAACTTGTAAGAATAAATACACAATTTTTTATAAATAAATTCTGGTTTTTTGAGGGTCCCCCCCTGTATGTATACATGTACACATACCCAAATATACATATGATCAACCATGTCAACCATAATAGGATGTGGGATGAACTAATATACACCAAAATGTTACTGTAAGTTATTTCTGGTTGGTACATGTTCCATATTTCACACAAGCATGTATAACTATCTATATTTATTTACTGGCTGGTAGGTATAAAAGAAAATGGTTTATTTTGAATTCTAGATATACTATAATCCCATATATATGTATATGCATGTGTATTTTACATATACACATGTACACATGCATACATATGATACATAGTAAAAAGGCATGTCTTTATTATTTTTATCAAAAACTCTTCATAAATTCATATTACTTCATTAAAAGTATTCATTTTAATGCCATTCATTTCATAATAGCATAAGTTGTGAATTTGAAAGTTATTTAATACCTGTAATGCTTGTTTTTGATTCATTCTTTCTTGCCATTCTTTTTCATCTTCCTCTTCTGAACTGAAAGTCAAATATACATTTACAATACCTGTGATTTAATGACTACTTACAAAATATTTCTTGAGTTAGGGGCTACAATGGTGAAAAAGAAGGCAAGACACAGGCCATCACTGGTCTCACAGTCTGCTGGCAACATGTGTTAAGTGAGAAATCACAACACGGTCTAACAACTTCCATCACAAGGGAAGAGCAGGTAGCCAAAACTATGATAGGCACCTCACCCCATTTGCGATGTCATGAAAGCTTTTGGAGTCTCCTGTAATCACACTGTTTAGAAAAGCATGTGATTAGATGGAGAGCATGATGACAGCTAGGATGGGGTGTGGGGGGGGTTAGAGGGTGGAGGAATTGAGCAAAAAGGAAAAAGGACCCATAGACATGGACAACAGTGTGGTAACTGCTGGGGGGATGGGGATATAAGGGGACTAACTGGTAAAGAAAATAAAAATACAATAAAGATTAAATCAAAAAATTAAAAAGAAAAGCATATGATTAACATGTTGATGTTTCATCCTAAAAAAAAAAGAGAGAGAGAAGCTAGGAAATGTTTTAAGCAAGGAAATGACAATATCAGATTTAGGGTTTAACAGAGTCTATACTACAAAGCAGAGACTATGCTTGGCAAAAAGGGGTTCCTAAAAAGGGAAAGATTAGAGTCAGAGAAAGAAATTTGAAAGCCAGTACAATAACCTACCAACAATATTATGGTGGCAGTGATGAAGATCAAAAGAACTGGGCTGAGCCCTGGCTCAGTTGGTTGGAGCGCCATCCTGTAAACCAAAAGGTCGTGGGCCCAATTTCAAGTCAGGGCACATGCCTAGGTAGTGGGTTCAGTCCCCAGTCAGGGTGCGTACAAGAGGCAATCAGATGATGTTTCTCTCTCCTATCAATGTTTCTTTCCCTCTCTCTTTCTCTCCCTTCCCCTCTCTCCAAATTCAATAAGCATGTCTTCCGGTGAGGTTTAAGAAGAAAAAAAGAACTGTGCTGAGTTTAAAAGTTACCTAGCCTCTCTGGAGCCCCTACAGAAATAAATGGGGCTAGGTAGAGGACACCAGTCGAAGTGGTCCTCTACTTGTACTTCAACTACAGAAGCTGCTGATGATTAACAGTCAGCCAGAAAAAGTCCACAAGGCAGACTGAGAAAGAGTGGTGAGACAGATTCTCAGCAGGTACCATGTTAAATTGAGAACTATAAATCATCTACTGGATTTAGCAAGAAATTTGTTATATGTGGTCATTCAGTGTGGTGGTGTGAGAGAGAAGACACACAGGGATGAGAAAGAGGTAGAGACAGCATGTATAATCAAAGAGTAAGAGTGTAATCAAAGTGTAAGAAAAACTAAAATTCATATCTTCCTGATTATAAATTAATAGTCTTAGCATAGGCTCTACGGAAATAAAAAACCACCACAAACCACAAAAATAATTATTAATAAATAATTCAGTTTCTGAGAAATATTCTAAATAGTGTCAAGAATGCTTACTTTAGATGCATTAATTCTCACATGCCTTAACATGTAGATAAAACATAAAGGTTTAAATCTGTCTGAATATAGTGATAATAAATATTTGTAAATAAACATTTACCTATTTTTTTCTTCCTCTAGTAAAGGTGGTAAAGCATAGATGTCATCTTCTCTTTGAACTTGAGTAAGACTGGGTAGTTCTTCATCTCTAAAAAGTACAGACATGCTTAAACAGTGACGATAAGTAATAGTATCAACAGTGCTCCCCCAATGATTTCATAAACCATGCTTAGGAGGAGAGAAAGGGAAAAACACAGGGGCAATGGGTTTCTCCCCTGCTGACCTGGATGCCCAGGCCACAGTAGTGAAAAATAAGTACAGCCTTCAAAGAGGATTCTTGCTGCAGCTCCTCAGTGCCTGGGCCGTAGCCTCAAAAGTATAGACACAAAAAAAGACTGACATGAAAGTAAAATGTAAAAATTTTTAAAAAGTAAAACATATATACAATGTAACAGCATGGCTTTGTTTATCAAAGTGAATACATGCAGAACAGTTTTCACAACTTCAAATTACTAAATGAAACAGACATGCCCTTATCATTCTCATTTTACCCTCTATTTTCTGCTAAGACTTAAAACTAGGAAAAGGCAGCCACAGGAATTCCATGCAAAAATTAAAAAGGCTTAAATCAATCTTTAACTAATGTAATTCCCCTCTTGCCTTTTGCTTCTTAAGGCAGTTTTGACAGCTTGTCTTTTCAAAAATGTTTTCAAAAGCTTCTCTGTAGTTTTTTTTGAGTCATGAGTTGCCAAATCCTTTTTGTGCCTTCTCTTAGCCTGTGAAAAGAATGGGCACAAGATTTTACTTCAGAGTATATTAAAAACATTTCTGTGATTTTTTTTCCCCACATAGAATTTGGTTTTCTGAGTTTTTAGACTATAGGTGTTTTATTCAACAGTATATTCTGTAATTGTCATACCAGTGGATATCTTTACGTTTCTCTTATGTAAAGAACACCTAGTCTCCACCCAGCTATTACTTAATGGACTGGCTATTACAAATTTGGAAAACTATTAATTTACTTTCACTTTATTTTGAATGTTTTCAAGAAGCCTAAAACTTAATGAAATATAATTAAGTAAATATTTCCCAAAAGGGATTACTAACTTATTGTTTAAAATGCCAATGCTATGCCAAAACCAATTTCTGGTATTAGTTTTTATAAAAATACATTACTTATATGTAACTCCGTCCTTCAATATTCAAGATTATATCATAAGAAATCCTAAGATGTATTGGAATATCTTATAAGAAATGTCCAAGTAGGACAAAATGGAATAATCTCCAAGCTTCTGGAGACTATTCCTTTTCCTTTTTTGAAACTGAAATTTAATTTGACATGTAACATAGTTTAAGATGTACAATGTGTGTTGGTTTGATACACTTATATATTGCAATATGAATGCTAAAGTACAGCCAACTTCTTCATGAGGAGTTGGAGAATTAGAGATATGTTGTGTAAGGGTATATACAAACTCACAACTAGTAGATAATTTCTGGAGTTCTCTTTTTCTTTCCAGTTCTTCCAAAGGCTACCTGACACAGAGTACGCCTTAAATAATTAAAAACTGCAACATTCAAGTCCAGACCTTTTACCAAAGCAACAAATGTCCCCAAGAATTTACAAATCCATACTTTTATCCCATGTCCTCACTTAGACAATATCTGTCTGAAACGATTACAAGGTTATGAGCTGACATTTTCAACATAAAAAGGTCATATATCCAATTACTCCAAAGTTCACAACATTGTTCAAACCTTTTAAACTAATTTCAGAATAAAGAAACTCATATTCATTCTTTGATTAATTCAAACTGGGCAACACATAATAATACTGCTCACTCCTAAAATTCAATTCATCTTTAAAAGAAGGCTCACTACCAAGGAGGGTCCTCAATCTCAGATTCGCAGAAGCAACATAACCCGAACAAATATAGAACACCTAAGAAGGCGCTCTAAAAGCTAAACTCTTAGTTGTAACAATTTTAGTATTTTTATTAAAAGTTAAATTTTATCAATGCACTCATGATAGTCTTATATATACATCATTTAAAAATTTTTCTATCCGCACCTGAAGGTATGTTTAATGATTTTAGAGAGAGGGAGAGAGGGAGAGAAACACTGACTGGTTGCCTCTCATGTGCACCCCAACCAGGAACTGAACCTGCAACCTACACATGTGCTGACCAGAACTGAACCCGTAACCTTACAGTTTATGGGACAATGCTTCAACCAACTGAGCCACACCAGCCAGGGCATCATATATAAACTTTTTTAAAAGAAAAAGTATTTCTTTGTTCAAGATAACTTAAATTAAATTGGATATATGTCAAAATAAACCTTGGTTCCCAAAATTCTAAGGAGAAAATTAAAATTTTATCTGAACTTTCTTTCTAAGACTGTGCAAAGGAAAAAAATGATAATTCTTACCAAAGTCTGTTTCTTCAGCAGTGGAGTATCTCCATCAAAAACAAAGATAGGACGAATTCGAAAAAATAATAGTTTGCAGAGCCGATGAAACAAAGTGAGAAGGTGAGCATTTTCTATTGAGTTCCCATGGCGATCTCGGACTCCTTTTAGTGCTTGGTTTAACCAAATGCTAATATCTAGAAGAACTGTTAATGAAAATCATTTTGGAATTTCTGTCCTCATCCTCCCAATTTCAAATTCCTAATAACTGATAATCTTCAAACCTTGAAACTGAAGATTCATCACAACTGGTTTGAAATTTTAAAAAAATGTTTAGCCCTGACGGAATCTACATAAAACCATTAACTTGATTTGAACCCTTATTACTATTCACATACTGAATTTTCAAATCTTACATAAATACATACATGTACCCTTTAAAAAGTCACAGCAAAATTCATAGCAAAAAACTTAATTTGTTAACTAAACTAACTAAACAAATCTTAACTAACTTAACTAAACCTAAACTAACTTAACTAAAAATTCCACTTCCAGATGTTTAACCTCAGGAAATCATCATAGGTTTATAATAAGAGTTACTTATAAGAATGCTTGTTTATAATGATGAAAAAATTTTTAAATTTAAGTTTTCCAATTGGTCTTTTTAAGTAAATTATGATATACTGATTTGCTGGAATACCAAAGAGCCCTTAAAGATGGAAGTTGCAGAAAATAAAATCACAGGCACAAAAACAAGGAACAGAATGATAGTTATAAGAGGGGAGGTAGGGGGTTGGGAATGGATGAAAGAAGGTGAAGGGATTAGACAAAGAACATATATGCATCACCCACGGACATGAACAATGGTGTGGAACAATTGGTTGTGGAATGGGGAGGGCTGGAGGGAGAGGGGCAAAGAGGAAAAAATTGAGACAACAGTAATAGCCTGAACAATAAAAAAAAAATCCAAATTTAGAAAGATGGAAGTTACGGAAGCATATAGTGAAAAGACACTTACAAAATATTATTAAAGGAAATAAACAAGTTTCTAGAAGTATGGAAAACATAATTCCATTGTATAATTCCATACAATGCATTGTAACATGCATTGTTAACTATAAAAAACTAGAAATTTGGAAATCGAAATATTAAAAGAACTTATCTCTGTTGTGATTACATGTAATTCTTGGAGTTACCCTGGGCTCCAATTCAAACGTGTGTGTGTGGGGGGGGGGGGCGGAGGATGGGTACTGCAGGCAGAATGGACTAGAGAAACTTGAGAAGAGACTGGGGATAGAGGCTTTGGGACGAGAACAGAGAGAGTAGATGCTGGGATCCTGGTGCTGAGTCATCCCCATAGGGCAGCAGCCATCCTACTCAGGCAGACCTCTCCCTTCAGAGCAGCAGCCAGCGGCCTGAGGGGAAACAATAGCCCTGATCCCAGGAGAGACTCTGCCTTGCCCTGTGCGGCTTAAGCCTGACTGCTGAGTACACAGTGACTAGAATAACAATTGAAAGAGTCAGCCTCAGACAGCAGATCCTGGTAGTCTTGAACAGGCTGCCTAAAATCAGACAGGATCACCATCTGACATCACCAGAGGCAAATCCGGAAAGAAAAAACAGTGGTAAATACTAGACGCTACCGAGACAAAATCCACCATGGTCTTCTCCATGATCTGTGGTATTTTCTTTCTTGCAAAGCTTTTTAACTTTTATTTCTTGTCCTTTGAGTTTGGCATATTAAAATACTAGACTTTATACTACAGCTTATTTCAATTAGCATACTTACCCCCTTCTCTTACCCCATTTTATCTTCTTTCCTCATTATTTTTATTTCAAATTTTGTTTTCTTTCTTCCTACAACTTGTTTTCATTCCACACTCTTACTATTTCTCCATAAACCTCTCAAGACCAATTTTCTTGTCAATGATCATCTCATTTCTTTTTCATGCTCTTAAAATAACCATGTCCTCTATCCACATTTAGCAATCTTTGCTCGTTGGTTGTGGATAGGGTAGTTGTGATTGCATTTTTTTCAATTTTATCTCTACATCTTCACTAATTTTATACTTCAAATCTCAAATTTTACTGTTACCATCTTCTATTCTTTTTCATCTCAAATTTTAATTTTGCCCTGTCTCAGCCTGTTGTTCTTTTTTTCCTCTTTCATCCCGACTTTTTTCTTTTTGTCTCGTTTTTAAATTTTTCCCTGTTTTCGCCTGGTTTTCATTCCATACTCTTGCTATTCCCTCTCCTTCTGTCATCTCAAAATCACTTACCTTTCCTCTTCATATCTCTTAAGCTATTATTCTTTCTTTCTTTTTTTGCCTCTTATTCTCTTCCCACCTATATTAATTTTAGCTCATTTGTTGTTGATAGTGCTGTGGTGATTTTTCTCACCAATTTGGTTCCTGCTTTTTTTCATTTATTTACTTTTTTATCCTTTTTATCTCTAGTTATTTTAATTTCTGCATAAACCTAATACTATATATTTCCTTTCTCTTACTACATTCTATCCTCTTCATTCCCTTTTTTATTTATGATGTAAAATTACTTTCTCCCTTTGCATTGCTTTGATTCCCTACTTTTATTAGTGCTCATCCCTCTACTTCCTCAAAATCATTTTTCTTTCACTAGGTCATCACATACCCATTCTCCTTTCTTATAATATTAATAGTATTAATCTTTTTCACCCTTATTAATGCTAGTTCATTTGTTGTTGTTAGCGGCGTTGCTGGGGAAGTTATTTTTGTGGGTGTTGGTTTGTTTCCTGGGCTTAATGGTTTTGTACTGGCAGCATCTGAACAACAGCATACAAGATGTAGTGAGTGGAACGACCCACGGTCAAACACCTGGAGGGAGGATCCAACAAAAAAACGACCCAACAACAATCAAAATCCAATCATATCCAGAGAACCAACATACATGGCATAAAGGGCATCCCAAGAGTATCAAGTTCAGGAGATCAAGGAGTCTGCACCACTGAATCCCACAGCTCTCCTACCACAGAAGTTTACAACACAAAGACAGGGAGTCAGAACAGATCAATTTAAGAAGCAGAAGGAAACAAGAAGGGTCCCCCCAAAAATGGGAACACAAAGAAGCAACCCACAATTGAAATGAAAGGAAGAATCCCCAGAAAGACTGTAAATGAAACGGAGGCAAGTAAACTATCAGACATCAAGCTCAAAACAGTAGTTACAAGGAAGCTCAACGAGCTCAGTGAGAATTACAAAAAACTACAGAGAAGCTACAAGGAATTTACTGTGAACTACATCAGCATGAAAAGGACAGAGAAACTAACAGATACCAGAAGGAAACGAAGAATAACATTTCTGAATTGAAGAACACAGCAGAAAGAATCAAAAGTAGACTACATGAAGCAATGGATTGAAACAATGAGCTGGAGGACAGGTTAAAAAAAAACTCCCAGGAAGAGCAAGAAAAGGAAAGAAGGCTCAAAAAGAACAAAGAGGAGTTAAAGAAAACAGCAGGATGACATAAAATGTAAAACTATACATATAATAGGGATACCAGAAGGAAAAGAACAGAAGCAAGGGACAGAAAACCTGTTTGGAAAAGTAATGATGGAACTTCCCTAATTTGATGAAAGAAAAGGTCACACAAATCCAAGAAACATAGAGAGTCCCAATGAAGATGAACCCAAAGAGGCCCACTCCATCATAAGTAAGATTGCAAAATTCAAAGCCAAAGAGAGAATCTGAAAGGCAGCAAGGGAGAAAGAAGATGTGACATACAAGGGGGCATTAATAAGGTTAGCAGCAGACTTCTCAATAGAAACTCTACAAGTCAGATGGGAATGGCAAGAAATATCCCAAGTAATAAAACACAAAGGCCTGCAACCAAGACGCCTACTCTACCTAGCATGGCTCTCATTTAAAATGGAAGGTGAAATAAGGAGTTTCCCAGATAAAAGAAGGCTCAAGGAATACATCTCCACCAAACCAGCATCCAAGATATGCTAAAGGGACTACTTTTAAGGGGATGAAGAAAAAGAGTGAGAGAGATAGAAACACAGGTACAAAGGAAGTAAAATGGCAATGAATAAGTACCTATTGATAATAACCTTAAAAAAAGTTGCCCCAAGAGGGAAGTTCTTACTGATACAGGCATATCTAAAAAAGAGAAACATATCAAATAAACAAACTAACCCTTCATCTATAAGAACTGCAGAAACAAGAACAAACAAAGCCTAGAGTGAGTACAAGGAAGCAGAATTCAATAACATAGAGACTAAAAAAACAATTCAAAGGATCAATAAACTCAGTAGCTGGTTCTCTGAAAAGACAAACAAAATTGACAAGCCTTTAACCAGACATCAAGAAAACAAGAGAGAAGACAAAAATAAAACCAGAAATGAAAGAGCAGAAATTACAACATACCACAGAAATACAAAGGATTGTAAGAAATTACTATTAACAGATATATGCCAGGAAATTTGAAAACATGAGTCGATGGACAAATTTCTAGAAACACATAATCTTCCACAACTGAGTAAAGCAGAAGCAGAAAGCCTGAACAGACCTATGAAATTGAAGCTGTAATCAAAAAACTCCCAGCACACAAAAGTCTTGGACCAAAGTTTCACAGGAAAATTTTACAAAACATTTGAAAAAAAGCTAACCCCTGTCCTCAAACTATTCAAAAAAATTCAAGAAGAGGGAAGACTCCCAAACTCTTTCTATGAGACCAGCATCATCCTAATCCCAAAACCAGATAAGGATACAACAAAGAAAGAAAACCACAGGCCAATGTGGCCAACTAACATAGATGCTAAAATTCTCAAGAAAATATTAACAAATCTCATCCAGCAATACATTAAAAAGCTCATACACCATGATCGAGTGGGATTCATCCCAGAAATGCAAGGATGGTATGATATTCACAAATTAATACACATGACACATCACATAAACAAAAGGAAAGACAAAAATCACAAGATCATATCAAAGATGCGGGAAAAGCATTTGATAAAGTACAGCACCCATTTATGATAAAAACACTGCAGAGTGGGAGTAGAGGAAGTATACCTCAATATAATAAAGGCCATATACAGGAAACCTACGGCCAACATCATACTCAATGGGCAAAAACTAAAAGCTTTCCCACTAAGATAAGAATGTCTACTTTCACCATTTCTATTCAGCAAAGTATTGGACACTCTAGCCACTAGCCACAGTAATCAGACAAGAAAAATATATAAAAGGCATCCAAACTGGAAAAGAGGAAGTAAAACTATGACTGTTTGCAGATGATATGATAGCATACATAGAAAACCCTATAGACTCCACCAAAAAACTACTCATCCTAGTAAGTGAATTTGGAAAGGCAGTGGGATACAAAGTCATATGCAGAAATCAAAAGCATTTTTATACATAAAGAACGAAATATCAGAAACAGATATAAGGAAAAATATCCCATTTACTATAGCAACAAGAAAAATAAAGTATGTAGGAATAAAGATAACCAAGGAGTGAAAAAGCCTGGACTCAGGAAACTACAGAACACTGAAGAAAAATTAAGGAGGACACAAATAAATGGAAGCATGTACCACATTCATGGACTGGAAGAATTAACATCATCAAATGGCCATACTACCCAAAACAATTTATGGATTCAATGCAATTGTTATTAAAGTACCACTGACATATTTCAGAGATAAAGAACAAACATTTCAAAAATTTATATGGAACCATAAACAATACCAAATAGCCTCAGCAATTTTGAGAAAGAAAAATGAAGTAGGAATAGCCAATATCAAACTATATTACAATGCCACTGTAATCAAAACAGTCTGGTGTTGCCATAAAAACAGGCACATGGATCAATGGAACAGAATAGAGAGCTCAATAATAAACCAAGTCTTCATGGCCAATCAATATTTGACGCAGAGAGCAGAAGCATAAACTGAAGCAAAGATAGCCTCTTCAACAAATGGTGTTGGGAGACCTGGACAGCTACCTGCAAAAAACTGAAACTCAACCACCAATTTACACCATACACAAAAATAAATTCAAGGTGCAGTATCACAGAAGTCCTAGAAGAGAACATAGGGAGGAAAATCTCAGATATTTAACACAGCAGGATCTTCACAAATATGTCCCCTAGAGCAAGGGATATAAAAGAAAGAATAAAATGGTACTTCATCAAAATAAAAAGCTTCTGCACAGCTAAAGAAAACATTACCAAAATGAAAAGGGAATCAACTGTATGGGCAAATATACTTGCTAATGATATTTTGGACAAGGGTTTGATCTCCAAAATATATAAAGAACTCACATGACACCACACCAGAAAGACAAACAACCCAATTTAAAAAATAGGCAAAAAACCTGAACAGACACTTCTGCAAGAAAGACATACGGAGGGCCCAGAGACATATGAAAGTATGCTCAGCACTAGTAACCAACAAAGAGATGTAAATTAAAACCACAATGAGCTACCACTTCACACTGGTCAGAATGGCCATCTTAAGCAAATCAACAAACAACAAGTGCTGGTGAGGTTGCAGAGAAAGGGAATTCTAGTACACTGCTGGTATGAATGCAGACTGGTGCTGCCACTGTGGTAAACAGTATGGACTTTCCTCAAAAAACTAAAAATGGAATTGCCTTTTCAACTGGCAATTCCTCTGCTGGGATTATATCCTAAGAATCCTGAAACACCAATTCAAAAGAATCTATGCACCCCAATGTTCATAGCAGCATTTTTACAATATTCAAGTGCTGGAGATAGCATAAGTGCCCATCAGTAAATGAGTGAATCAAAAAACTATAGTACATTTACACAATGGAATACTATGCAGCAGAAAGAAGGAAGGAGCTCCTACACTTCTCGATAGCATGGATGGAACTGGAGAGCATTGTGCTAAGTGCGATAAGCCAGGCTGTGAAAGACAAATACCATATGACCTCACCTATAAGTAGAACCTAATCAACAAAACAAACAAGTGAACAAAACAGAACTAGAGACATGGGAATCAAGAACAACTGACAGTGACCAGACAGGGGAGGTGGGAGTAAGAGGAGAAATAAGGGGAAAGTTCAAGTTAAACGGCCAATGGACAAAGGCAACAGGATGGGGTAGGGGAGGGAGGACTGAATGTGGGAGGTGGCAGGGGAGAGTAATGAGGGAAAATAAGGACAACTGTAATGAGCAATAAAATAAATTAATAAGTTAATAAATAAATAAATAAATACAGACAAGCACTAGGCTATAAATGGTAAAATGGCCCATTTATTTTAGGGATCTAAGAGTAAAGTATGTCATGGGTAATTTCCTTATTAACAAAACAAAAATTTGAATGTGTTTCAGGTATGTGAATTTGATTCCCATGAAAATGAACAAAGCAAAATCAATTACAGAACCAAATATACTTAAGTTATAATAATCTCCATACACATACATATATATGAGGTTATCATTATAACTTGAGTATATGTGAATCCACTGTAAATGACTCATTCTTTCAAAAAAGACCCAAAACCCCATGAAAATGATTAGTTTTGAAAAAAGCTTCTGAGACTTCTGAAAATAGATACAGTGGTACCTTGGTACTCATCATTAATTCATTCTGAAACTTACGACATGTGCCAAAACCTCATTTTCTCTTGCAGCGTGGCCTCCTGACTCATACAAGTTCTAGCAAGTGCAATGAGTCCCGAGCAAGTGCCAAGTGGTGAAATATATTTTTCTCATCAAAATGCAATCAATACAGGGTTTGACAAGTTTTGAAGCTGACGAGTACCAAGGTATGACTGTAATCTAAATTAAATGCTTTGCCTTTCCTTATTTTGAGCGACTTTCTAAAAACAGGGAATGCTGAACTTCATGTGCCATCTCAAGGATTTTACAAATAATTAATTCTTCATATGGGTTGCAATGTAAAGTAGCCTAAATATTTACTGAAATTTAAAGGCTCCCATGACTGAAAACTACTTTTGTTCACATATAGTTCTATAAGAAAATACTTAAAAAGCAGTGATTTGAAGAACCCTAAGAAGGTAGCAATATAGCATATGCTGTAAAAAAAAACTTTCCTTTTTCCCCTTGGTACACTGCATAAAAACTTTTAAACCCAAATCTATTACATAAGTATTTCAAGATTACTCACATTGTACAAAACATAACATAACATTAATTATATTATGCATAGGTTCTCATTCAGGGAACTAATGGAAGGTACCACCAGCTTTTAGTAAAGAACAATAAAAAAAATGCTTAACAAGGAAATGAAATTTCAAAAACAGAATTCACGGTGTTTTGATAACGGACGAAAAATTTCATTCCAAACACACAAACAAAACCAGCCAAACATGTACAAAAACAAGTCCTTAAAAACTCCACCATAGGGGCAGAGAGGAAAATAATTTACTGTACATCTTTTGAATTTTTTCAATGCAGTGTAGTACCACATACACGTCCTATTCCGAATATTTATTTTTATTTTTATATTTTAAGGTAAAAAACCTGTCCACACTATCCTTCCTGTAAAATAAATGGTGCAACATTCAATACAGCAGGGAACACTACCAGTAGGAAACCCACTTCATTTTTCTCCATACTTTACCACATTATCAGTGCCATACACTATTCTAATCTTCCTTCATTTAAATGCTTCCTTTATCCCTCATAACAACCTTCTGTGTGTAGACGCCCTCCCCTCCACTTTTCAGCTGAGAAAACTAAAGCACTGAGGCGCATGAAGCACTGCCCCTAAATGATAAAACCAGGATTCCAATCCCGAGTGTTACCATCGCAAAGCGGGAGGAAGGGTGGGGGGTAGAAAACGTTGACGATATTCTATAGCTCACCACTGAGTGACACCGTCATCCTACTAACACCACCACTCTGTGCCCAAGGGAGAGACCAGAGGGAGTAGGCGAGACGCGAATTACGGCATCACGAGTACCAACGCTGCGTTAAGGATACCCACGGCCAGGATCTTCCCTTCAAGGGTTTCTGGGCTAATCTGTCGCCCGGAGCACTCCAGCAACTTCCAGAGCCCCTGGACTCCCATGAGGCAGGAGCGTCTTTAGAACGTAAGACGTTTTATTCCAATTCTTCTACAATCCGCTGCCCCTCCGAACTCCGGAAGAGACCTGCCGCAATTTAGGAAAGGCGGTTCCCAGAGGCTGACACCGCCTCCCGGAACACAGACGGAATCAGAGAACGGTGAATGGTCCAAGGCAGAAAGAGCTCCTTACAGCTCGGGCCTCTTCCGCCCAGCGCTGTAACCAAAACCTCTGCACTCTTAATGGGAGACCGGATTGAGGGAACCAGGCAGGCGAGATGAAGAGCGTGTAAGCATACCTCACTCACAACCCGAGTTGGGTCGTAAACCCATGCAAATGGCACCTCTCGGATTCCGTTGTATAAAGCGCGCGCAGAACGGAAGTCTGGCTTCACACCGCCCACGCTGCGCTGAAGCATTCCGGAAGTGAGGGGTCAGCTCCGCCCCGGTGTTGGTTGTGCTGGTGGCTTTTCTTCCCCGTTGGCTGACTGTCGCACGTAAATGTTAAAATTGTGTGCAGTGTTTACTTCCTAAGGTGACCGTTTTCTACGAACTTTTTGGGTATCAGTTTCTCCTCACTGGTCACCACTAATGTTAATAGTGAACACTACTGGTACTAAGTATCGTTTGCATTTGAAGCTTTAGAGGAAATCGGCAGCCATCTCAAGAAAAGATACATAGCGCAGCACTCAAGAAATAACTAGGCTTCTTTGCTTCCTGCTTCTGTAAGCTGCTTGCTGATTTCGCGCCAGAAGTAACGGGCTGCCCCTAACCCTAAAAGCAACTGCACCCCACAGCTCGTGGCCCAGAATTTGGAAACTGCCTCCTCTGGGTCCGCATGCCTAAATGAAGGAACCACTTTGCTTCCTCCAGTGTTAGACCCGAGTTCTTCCCGCAACAAAGTGAGTGACGACAGAAAGGTGGATGCTTGGCTGGTGTCTTTAAGTATTTGTTGGGTATCTGGTAGTAACTCGATTACTTGTTACGCTGTAAAGCCTTAACGCTCCAAATACAGTTTTCTTTTCTCTAGCATGTAAAATTTGGGATTCCACAGCTTGTGGATCAGAAAGTAATGAGAAACTAATTGCCAGAGAGGCTTCTGGAAATGCAGTGGCTCAGGTAACCCTTAGGCCAAGATTCAGATCCCCACCACACGTTATAGTATATATTGTTCAAGTAACAATTATTTAGAACTTCTGTTTCTTCATCTGCAACCTGGGCGTAAAACCTGTCTTGCAGACTAGTTTAGCTAGGACCAGAGCTGACTGTATGCAAAGTGCTTACACTAGTGGTTACTCAATAAATTTACTATTATACATATCTTACATATTGGTTCAAATTTGAATTACTGAAACTAGATTCAGACTCAGTGAAAAGGGTGATTTTGTTAATGAATGCTTTATGACAGAAAAAAACAATAGAAAATTCGCTTAAAGCAAAATCATTGCTGTCCCCAAAGATGTTTCACAGTAGCCATGTTTAATTGACCTAGTAACAACTAATTGCCTATCAGGGATAATTCTGACAGTGAGCTTTTTTGTATTTCCACCATGTGTAACATAATTCCCAGAAATTGTTCTTAATTGTATTTTACAGAGGTTAATATAAGTGCTTAATCAGTTTTTGTCTCCCTCTACTGTGGACTGTTTACTGAAGCAAGAACTATTTTGACTTCTATCCCCCAATCCTTACCCTTAGCAAGGAATCCGTTAAGTATTGCCTAAATAATCTTTTCAGCATCTAGTCTGAAGCTCCACAGTGCATCTTGCACCCTGATTAATGAATTTCATCCCAAGTCTAGCAGAGATTACTCCATAACCAACTTGACTCACGTAACTCTTAGTGGGAATAACTGTGTCCTCCAAAATTATGTTGAACTCTAACCCCCAGTAACTCAGAATGTGACTGTATTTGGAGATAGGGCCTTTTAAAAGTTGATTTTAAAATGAGGCCTTTAGGGTAAGCCTAATCCACTCTGACTGGAGTCCTTTTAACAAGAGAAAATCCAGACAATGAGAGACACCAAGGGATGTGTGTACATAGAAAACATTATGTGAAGACACAGTCAGAAGGCAGCCATTTGCATGCCAAGTAGAAAGATTCAAGAGAAACCAAACCTGTTTAAACCTTGATCTTGAACTTCTAGCATTCAGAACTGTGAGAAAATAAATTTCTGTTGTTTAAGCCACCCAGTGTGTGGTATTTTGTTATCATAGTCCTAACAAACTAAGATACCCTACGATCCTAAGCAAGTTTATTCACCAGTGAGAATCTGGATAAAATGGAGAGGCCACCAACTTATTGGGGATGTTCTGAGCTCAGCAATTTAACCTGAAACACCTAGTGGTTAATAGTGCCCAGTATGTTGAGTGAATAACTGAGGGAGAAAACGCTATGGGAAAAATTGAGATATATGTGATGTATGCTACAACACCTTGCCTGAACCCCTCCAGTATCTGGGAGAAGGGAAGTGGGAAAGTGTTACACTTTCTACACCAGCTTGGCCTAATAATGGGGAATCATAGTGGGAAAATAGTTTCAGGATTTTAAGTAACCAAACATTTTTTACTATCTGAGAGGTAGGTATAAAAAAAGTAGCCAATGTCAGCATGTGAATACTGTTAAGTGTTTTTAAAACCAGAGCAACATTTCTTAAAATACAAAATATACTTTTGAAGGAATAGCAAGTAAGGGATGTCTGTCTGACTTACAAGGAATTGGCTCTTTGAGATACTGTTTAATGGGTTCTCAAGTTTTTGAACAGTAACATATACATCTTCTGGAGTAATAATAACAGCACACACTTAAATAGCAATTCCTATTCAAAAAGCACTATTCTGAACACTTTACATGTATTAACTTACTTGTTCTTCAAAACAGTTTGTAAAGTAAATACTATTGTCCCCATTTTATCAATGAGGAAATAAGCACAGAAAGTTTCATCTTAATTTGCCCAAGATGATACAACTAATAAGTGTAGAGCCAGTATTTAAAACTTTAGTGCTTCTGTGGAGACTCCTAAGAGATGCTGACCAGGAAAATAAATATGACAATACTACTAATACTGAAAGAGAAGTGTGCAGTAACTTGCTTATCGTTTCTGGAAGAATGTCTGTAAACCTAAGAGAGCTCTTAGTAACTGTCAACTTTTTAAACTAAGCTATTAAGTGAGCATATGTATCAAGACTTGAGTTTTTGTGGCCAATAAGCAGTCTGTATAAATTCATCCTCTTTTCTTAGGTGTCACTCCATTCTTTATTTTATGTTGCATTTGTCTCCTTTCCTCTCAGCTCTTTCTCTTCCCTGAAATATCCAACTATATGAAATTGCTGATACTCAACCATGTTTGATACAACACTCACAACTTCATTTGTTTCAAGCTAAAAGAATTAAATTTCCTACTTCAAATTATAAAGTCTTATACAAAACTAAAATTATTGTTATAATGCATATTATTTCATTAACTATAAAAGTCAAATACAAGATGATTTCTTTTAACACACTACTTAAAATTAAAGAATTAAAAAATCATCATGTCTTCAAACAAAATTATAATACCCCCTAAAACAAAGATTCAAAATATTCACATGATTAAAAGTAAAAAAGAAAATTTTATTTGATGAAAACTTCTTAAAAGTTCCAGTATGAAGTAACAAAATCAACAACCTACAAATCTCTTTTAGTCCTTTGCATTTCAAGCAAAATAGTCCCTTCAGAAAAATGATCATTCCATAATATATAGTCCCTTTTGTAGGCATAGGCATGTCTGAGTGGTTAAATGGATATAAAATTCAAAAGAAGAAAATTAAAATATTCTTAAAAATCTGAACCTTCTTGAGATGTATTGCAATATGGTACCAACATATTCAGCACCTTGTAATAATCAAGTCACTGATTTGAGTTCTGGAACATTTGAGATACGTCTAACCTGATATGATCAAGAGATCCTAGTCATTTGTGAGTCATAAGTTGACAGCATAGGACTGTCAAGTACAGAGGAGCTCAAATATATGATATCCACACTTCTGAATTATTTAACACACCACCTTCAAACAACTAATTGTCTATATGTATTTTAAAGGGAAATACTTCAGGAGTTTGGAATATGATAGTTGCCCTCTGAGTGGCAAGGCATTCCAAATACATATTTAATGCTGTTATGAATATATGATTCCACATTGAGGGACCAATAAAGTATCAGATCTCATTTCATAGATTGCCTTGGATACAGGAACTATATCCACTTAATCTTTTACTCTATCCCTAAAACAGCATTCATTGTAGACTTACAGAAGTCTTTCAAGACCTAAAATTCTTGTCAATATTTGATAGTAACATACCAAGTCAAGAAAGTCAAGAATATCCTAAAACAGTACACTAGGTCACCCATTTGCACCAATAGAAAGGATTAGTTTCTTAAGTCTTTTTCTTTCACCTCTATTGAGAATCCTGAGAAAGTTAACCAGTAAACAAATGAGGCAAGCAAGATACTGCAACAAGTAAAATAACTACTAGACTCACTGAAAAATTTTAAATGAGCTTACACCATGACAGAAAACTAGAAATCAACAGCCCAATTTTTAAGGCCAGGTGGTGCCTTACATCATGAGCTTAGGAATAAAACTATCTGCAACAAATGCCTTGGGATCAAGTCATACGAAATCATGTCATGCTTAACCATTTCAAATCATGATGTTATTAAGTAAATTTGCATTTGTTTATTGGAGTTTGTTAAATTGTCCAGAATGTTTATATACTCTAATTTAAAACAAAAACCTGTGCTTATCTGCTTATATATCTGAAATCACCCATCATAATAATATACAGTCTTAAGTACTGGAGAACTACAGGGCTATGTTTTATACCACAAAATCTGTTCCTGTTTAATGTAGACTTAATCAAATCTTCTGTCTCAATGCAGTCTTGTATAGAGCAGTGCATGACACAAGTTTTTCAGTACCCAGCACAGTCAGTCATTCCCACCATAATCACTGTAACCCTGGTAGCCACTGTTCCTTCTCTCGTGGATACTGGACATCTTTTTCCATGCTGAGTCCTGATGGAAACCAGCACTGAAAGACCGGCCCAATCGCCCATGATGCTTCTTGGAGATATTGTCCTCACTCTCAGATTTGGCAATTCCCTGGCCATGTGTTGTTGGAGGTTGTGACTCTTGTCTAATGGTTCCAAATGGAAAGTTCCAAAGGCCAAACCTTTGCCAACTAAGTCTCTGGAACGCTATAATACAATGCAAATTTCCCCCAACCTGAGAAGGAAAAAAAATTGGGTGAAGAAAATGATGGGAAACAAACTGTTCTATGAATTCCTTCATTTTTCCCCCCTTCATCTACCTCAAAACAGTACTTATCCTTTCAGACATCATCACATCATATTATCCTGCATCTTCCCTGACCAGCTGCCATTCATTACAAAACTATAACAATGCCCACACCTTTGTCAATATTTGACAGTAACATACTAAGTCAAGAATATCCACAGAGGATAGAGGGGAGAAAAAAATGGGACAACTGTAATCAATAAAATATACTTAATATCCTGAATCAATGCACTAAGTCACCTATTTGCACCCATGCAAAGGATTAGTTTCTTCAGTCTTTTCTCTTGTACTTCTTTATTGAGAATCCTCAGAAAGTTAACCAGGAAATAAATGAGCCAAAACATCTTTCCACCACTCTCACACACAAGAACTTCCCATTCTGCCTAGTTCAAACACCATCATTCTTCCTGTCCTACACATTCTTCACTTGTTAGTAGGATTATATCAGTGGGATGTCTATTCAAATCTATAGAATCTACCTATCTCTGAGAAATACCTCCAGAAGTTTTGTTTGTATACATGACTCTGTCCCGAGGCCAGTTAATATGGCTCAGGAATAAACACCTGACCCAAACTGGGCCAAGACTATGGAACTAGGCCTAAAGCAGGCCAGCTTCAGTCTAGACTGCTCATCTGAAAGAGACATGATGATGATGATTTCAGGAACCAAATAATCAGGCAAAAGGATAAAATATAATTCCCCAAAGAATGAGAGGCTAGCTACTTGGCCCTTGCTAACATTCTTTTACATGGTACAAGTCCCATATGAATCCAGGCCACCTTCCTTGCCCTTTCATTTTAAATACACTCATGTCCTTAAAATAATTTTCATTTTTCTGTCTAAGATGGTCTGAACTGGGTTTATATTATTTACAGTCTGGAGTGCTGAATAAAATACTGCATTTTAGCCAGTTGGGAAATACCTTCATATACAATGGTATTCTTACCTTCTTAGTTTTTCGATACTGCAGCCCCCTCTCCAAGTGACGAATATCTAGAAATTCTGGATTTTGAGTATTTAGATCAGTTACAATATCTGCCCATCTATAGTTAAGAAGGAAAAATAAAGCACAATTTTCTTTTTAGTACAAAAGATTGTTACAGAACTTTTCACACGAGCAATATTCTGCAATGTTACAATGGCAATAAGTCTCTATCAGGATTGTTCCACTAACCTGTAATAAACTCGCTTTTATGACAATTCTGTTTATGCAACTATTGCCAAGGTTCTCAGTCTAAAAACGGTTAGTATCCCTATGAAATAAGTATATATCAACCTATTAGATGACATCTTGCAGGCTAAAAGTAGAAATATTCTTAATTAGAGTCAAGTATATTTACAAAAGACTTAAAAGTTAGCATGCCTTTATTTACAGACATGATTGTGTGAAAAATCTAAAGCAGTTATAAATTGTTTTGTATTGAAAAACTGTTAACAGAATTAATAAGTGAACCTGGTAAAGATGTAAGATTTAAGGCCTATATAAAAAAATTATATTTCTTTACTCAATCAGAAAATAACTGAGAAATGAAAAAATCAATTTACAGTAGCATCAGAAAATATACTCAGAGAAAGTTTTTAACAAAATACATATAATTCTTTGAAAAATATAAAACAGTGCTGTAGAGAAATTAAAACTCTAATTAAATTAAGGTAAAGTCCATATTAACAGATTACAAGAGTCCATATTGTTATGATGTAATTCTCCACAAAATAAACTGTGGATTCTCTGGATTTTATTCTAATCAAAATTCAAACAGACTTTTCAGCAGAAATTGAAAATAAAAGTTAACATACTTTTTACAGTGAATAGCAGGATGTTTTCTACTTGATTCTCCAATTAAAATCCAATATTCTACTTCTTGTGGTGAGAGGGGACCCCTGCTAGATTTAAAATACATTCACAGAAAACTTAATAAAGGTCATTTGCTCCCTTGAAAATACTACTTCAATTATATATTATTAAAAGACACACTAAAGTTTATTCAGGTAATGCATTAATTAACACTAGAATAGGTATTGGAGTTTAGACTTGAGCAAATGTCTGAATGCAATTAAAGGGAAAACATAAATTGTGGTCTTGATCCCCTATTACAAAATCTAGGGTTAACAAAGTTGACCTACACTATCTCTATGTATCTAAGAGGGAAAAAAAATCTTAGCATGCTCCCAGATTTTTCAGCTACTCTTCTCCTTTTATTATACACTCTAAAAGTTAAGAAAGATATCCTAAAAAGAAAACCCTAAGGTAATGATTCACCTGTGAAACTTTTAAACATACCAATACCCTAATCCCACCATGGGAAATTCCAATTTAAATACATCAAGAGTGGAGACCAGGCAAGGATTTGCTCAGTTTGAAAAGGATCTCAGATGATTCTTAGGTACAGGCAGAGGTGACAAACTCTCCTCTAAAGGGCACAAAGGAGAAGTACCTACTTTTTTATGTTTTACATGTGACAGATGTCTGGAGTAAGGTGATGTTGTAAGATGAAACCATAGAAGAAACACAATAGGAGTATACTTCACCTCCAGAGAGATGAATAAAACATTTCAGGATCTGGAGAAATCCAGTAGTTTTCCCTTGCTCCACATTCACAAAAATACAATGTCCAGCATCCTAATTCTCCCAGTTTGCTCCTGCCTGTCTCAGGATCCCTGCCCTACAACCTCCACCCCTATGCAACTTCCACCAAGTGCTCTGAGTGGCGTACAGAGTTCCCAAGGCCTCCAGCCTCAAAGAACCGATCCAATGCTCCAGATGACCAAGCTGTATTCTCTCAGCTTGACCTTTGTTCCTATCTGAGAGAACAGTGCTACCTCTTCCTCCTCTAGTATATTACCCAAGTGTGAATATACTAGAACCTCAGTAGGCTGAGGATAACCGTGCTTATCAATACTTTTACTCAAAGTATTCATGGCTTCTGTTTTCACCATTTCTAAATGGGACACTTCTTTTGCTTTTAAGTATCTTGGCATTATTTCAACCCAGCGTGAAGTAAACTTGCTAAGGAGTGAAAAGAGTAATAAAATTCAGTCACCCATATAAATTAATTTTTCATATAAATAATGTTTTAAATAAGTAAATTAAATTTAATAAAATATAATTCTGCCAAAGAATAAGCTCAAATATTTAAAGAATAATCTTCATGTAAGGAAAGCAAATCACTAACTCTTCCAATTTCTAAGCACTAAATATTTCTTAAATGTTTTCTACAACATATTTTATGATCAAGTATCCACATAACATACAGAAATGCTTACCTGAATGCTTTATTAGCTTTAATAGGGGTGGCTTCAAAGCCAATTGGACAAAAGTAATGATTTTGGCAATGATAGATATAAGCCAGTGATTCATCTTTTAAACCATGTGTTAACTTCAACAAGGCCCCTGATGCTACAAAAAACAAAAACAGAGATCATAAAGCACTACCTATGCTTTACACAAAGGAGTAGTTAATGACTGAAAGAGAGAAGAGACATTACTCAGAACACACTGACATACTGGGAAAAAATGAAAAGCTATTGATGACAAAAATATTAATGAATGTATTTTCAACTTTACCCATTAGAGTAAAATTCAGATAAATAGAAAAACTAAAAAGCTGAAATGTTTCCTTGTTTACCAAAACCTCATAACACACATACTTGCCTATGAGGTTTAATTACCATATAAAACGTAATACCTATTGCATATAGCAATGGTCTCAACTGTTCTGGTTGAACACATCTATAACTAGAAATTTCTGAATAAACATGCCCATTATAGTATTTTTATTTATAAACTATGTGCACATACTACTGTGCTAATATGATTTATATGAGATATACAGAAAGTGGGAATTTTTACTTATATTAAATACATTCTAATATGTTCTTCCCATATTACAGTGATCACCTTTCACAGTTACAGTCTTTACATCGAAATTTGAAGACCACTGAGATATATGAATATAAATTCTAGGTAATAAAATTCTAGGTAATATAAATTATAGGTAATAAAATTCCTCCCACTATTTAATCTTTCTTCAAAAGTTACACAGACTACCCTTGGCTGATGTAGCTCAGTGGATTGAGTGCAGGCCTGCACAGCAAAGGGTCACTGCTTTGATTCCCAGTCAGGGCACATGCCTGGGTTGTGGACCAGGTCCCAAGTAGGGGATGCATGAGAGGCAACCACACATTGATGTTTCTTTCCCTTCTTCCCTTCCCCTCTCTCTAAAAATAAATAAATAAATAACTTTAAAAATATATAAAAATAAAACTAAAAGTTACACAGACTAAAGCAGGGGTGTCAAATTCATTTTTACCATGGGCCACATCGGCCTCACAGTTGCCTTCAAAGGGCTGAGTGTAATTTCAACTCCTTAACAGTTAAGGAATAGTTACATTTATGCTGTCCTAAAATTATTTTGGCCCTTTGAAAGCAACTGCAAGGCTGTTGTGGCCCCCAGTGAAAATGAGTTTGACAACCCTGGACTAGAGAAACAGCTTTCCCAAGATGAGAAAAAGTACAGCATCGGGAACACAGTCAATGATACTATAATAACTCTGCATTGTGCCAGATGGATACTAGAAATACTAGGGGGGAAATTTTGTAAAGTATATTATCATCTAAGCATTATCCTATATACCTGAAACTAATACAATATAATATTGAATGTAAACTGGTATTGAAAAATTTTTAAATGACTGAATGAGCCTGGGGGAAAGGAGGACATGTAGGAAAAAATACCCCCATCAAAGACCACCACTATTTTACACACTTTATTAAGATCCATACACACATTTAGATAAGTGGCTGAGGAACTGAGGTTACTCCAGTTCTTTCTGCCTTACAGTTCAAAAAAAGCATAAAGATAATGGGATTTTGCCCTGCAATTATTTTTTACTCCTTATACTTATAATAAAGAAGTCATGTACTGATTTGCAGGCCAGGTCCCCAGCAGGGGGCATGCAAGAGGCAACCACATACTGATGTTTCCTTCTCTTTCTTCCTCCCTTCCCCTCTGTCTAAATAAATAAACAAAAACTCTTTTAAAAAATTGACACACAAGGAAATCTTTAAATAAAAAATTAAAAGAACTAAATTTAGAAGACACTCAATATTTCAATTATATAGTTGAACTTAATTGTATGATAATAGGTTCTAGGATAGTGAGCAAATGTAAATATATGAAACTCCTCGTAAATTTAATAAATACAAAAATGTTTATACATATAATTGGTTTAGAAAAATGGGACAATCAATAAAATGTAATAGCAAAATCAATAAAATATATTCAAATAAATAAGAGGAAGAAAAAGAAAAAACTCTAGATATCTTTTACAAGTTGAAAATTCCAAATAGTTTACCTAAATAACTGATATGCTTAATTAAAGAAATTGTATTATTATTTTTTAATAGAAATCTGTAAATATTCCACATTTTCCTTCTTTCTAAAGTCAAATGTACTACAAAACAGCTGACTTCTTTAGTGTCACTATGATTAGCGATTACTTTATTATTTTTTTATTTATCTTTAGAGGAGAAAGGAAGGAGAGAGGGAGAGAAATATCAATGTATGGTTGCCTCTCATGCATCCCCTGCTGGGAACTGACCTGCAACCTAGGCATATGCTCTGACTGGGAATCAAACCACGATCCTTTTATTCACAGGCCCATAAGCAATTACTTTTTTAACACATATTTATTGAGTCATCCCATGTATGAGGCAATGGTAAGACAGGAGGAAATTAGGACAATCAGGCTGGGTTCCTGGCCTCATGGAGCTTACTGCCCAGTGGAGGAAACCAACAATAAGCAAATGAAATAATTATTGATTATAATTTGTACATGAAATGAATCAAAACAGGGTGCTGGGTTAAAAGAATGGCTCAGGTGTCAGACTTTAATATTCAGTGAAGGCCCCTTGTAGGTGGTGGCATTTACATGGGAACATGAAAGATGAGAAAGATGTGGAGGAAATGAATTCTAGGGGATAGAACAATGCAGAAGTAAACAGCAAATATATCATATCTGCCATAGACATTGTCTCATTCTGGACTCCCTCAGTAGTCTTGTGAAGTACACATTTGTGGTAGGCCCTCCATCAGCAAATACTTTAATGTCTTGGATTATATTCCAGATTCCCTATCAATGAAAGACCAAGCTCTTAATAAAGAGGTTAGAGAACACCTCTTTAGGAAGACTATATCAGTAGCTCTCAAACTTGAGCATGCAAGCCTTTTTAAACAACAGATCACTGGTGTCTGACTTAGTAGGTCTGATTTGGGGACTGAGAATTTTCACGTCTGACACTTTACCAGGTGATGCTGACATTGGTCTAGGAACCACATTTTAAGAGCCACAAGTCTAGCGTTAAGAGGAAATTTCATTTCACTCAATTCAGTAAGCAATGTATTAACTATATCAGAAACTGCAGGAAGCAAAAAAAAGTAGTATGTCAAGCTGTCCTCAAAGGGAAGATAAAACAAGTAACTAAATAGGGTAGAATAAGACAGTGTCACAATAAGGGTTACAGTTCAAAGAAGGAGCACATAGGTCTAAGGAATCAAGAACAGGTGGTATCCAAAATGGAACTTGTTGAAGTGGGAGGACTGCAATGATCTAGACAGAGGGAAAAGCATGAGGAGAAAACAAAATCACTAGAGGGGAGGGATGTAACCAGAGAACAACAAGTAGTCCAGATTAGAATATAGAGTATGATTGTTAGTATAGAGAAGCACCCCCAAAATTTCAGGACCTGGTCATAAAAGATCATTCTCTGAAATTAAAAAACAGTAAATACAGTATTTAATACATTAAAATAGTCCCCCAAGAAAATAATTCCATTTAGCAGAAGACATAGAAATGTGTTACAGATTGAAACTAAGTTCAGGATGATGTTCACTCAAGACCAGAGTACATCTAAAAAATCTAAAATTTAGTCATCGAAGCAGCCACTACCAAATGCACAGCCCTAATCTATGTGGTACATAGAAAGTAGAAAAAACTACTAGGATTAGCTGGCCTACTGTACTATAGGGAGGAATATATGTCCTGGGCAGCCAACAAGAGAATTCTAGTATCTCTGATATTATATTTATCATTCTAAATTAATGTAGCAACATTCTGATACTCACTAAGTTTAATGTGAGTTTGTTCTGTAGAGCCTGTTCATCTACAGAAGAACTATAGAGAACTCAACAACAATTTATTAGAGTGTATTTTTACACCTTCAATGACAAGAATCAGATTATGTAATCCAGCAGCTAAATATCCTGCAAATCTCTCATTTCCTTGAAATATTTTAAATACAACTGGTACATGTAGGATGACAGTGGAAGGCCAACCTGTATTTATTTTGAATGATGCTAAAGAATTTATGCTTTAAACAAGCACTACAGAGCTTTTGAAAAAGAAAGATCTATTAACACTGCACATTAAAAAGATTTATCTGGCCCTGGCTGATGTAGTTCACTGGATTGAGCACAGGCCTGTGAACCAAAAGATCGCGGTTCGATTCCCCATCAGGGTACATGCCTGGGTTGCAGGCCAGTTCCCAGCAGGGGCCGGTTCCCAGCAGGGGATGCACCAGAAGCAACCATACATTGATATTTCTCTCCCTCTCTCCTTCCCTTCCCTTCTAAAGATAAATAAATAAAAATTTTTTAAAGATTAAAAAAAATTTATCTGGCCTTGTGACCATTATGAATTGGAGAAAACCAATGGATGAAGTTTTCCTTAATGCACAGTCCACCTGAGATGCACTAATGCACTCCAGTAAGTTGTAGCAATGGCCACAGTGAAGATGTATATTACATGAGGTATGTTAGTATAGAGCAGAAGTAGCTATTTTCTGTTAAGCAAAAATAATAAGTTACAATACCTATTAGAAGAATAAAAATGAAATACATGAACATTAGTATAATTTTCAAGCTATCTGACTAAAACAATGAATCTAGACTTCACTGGCACATATGTTGGTAACTAAGTGAAGCAACAGTTTGAAGTTACTTGAATAATAAGTGAATAATAATAGTGGTAAGTGAATAATAAGAAATGAACCATAGTTTGAAATTAATGTTGACAACTTCTAGCACAAACTTTTATTGTAATTGCATCTCTGCAAAAAATGTGACAATGCATATTAACAGTTAAATCTTCTAATTTTGTCAAAATCCCTGGATTTTGCTTTTATACCATGAGTGAGTTGGGGGTCCCATGGAAATGAGAATGTCAGGAAGAACAGGGAATTATAACATCAAAGAAGCATTGCCCAAGGAAAGCTTAAATCCTATTGTGGAAAACAGGCCTAACAGTCCTTTAAAAATAACTGAAACAAAAAGAGAAGATATATTTCAAAGTTATTTTTTAAATGAACAGTAACAAACAAGTGGCAATGCTTTTCACTAA